TGACAACACAACTGGTTATTATGATCATGCGACATAATATTGAAAATACACGAGACATATATATTGAAAATATTGTTTTTTCCTGAAAACAATTAACAACGATTTTCTGATTAGGAACAAAGGTTTGTTTCGATTGCAGCTAATATTGACCCCAATGACAGTAGATAGAATGTATCGATTGCGTTGATATTTTTCAACCTATATGTAAATATGTTTCTCAGATATTTGTGTCCTCCAACACACTGATTAAATCAACATTGTTTAAAGCTGCGCCAGGAAGTTCCCTTAAATACATTTTAAATGACAGACAAAGAAAACACTGCTATTTTAAACTCTAAATTAGAAGTTCTATAAATAAGATAATCGTCATTATCATTTTTTTACATTTTGTGCAATCTTTTCAAAAGATCTGCAGTATTTTCAATAATTTGGGAAAAAGTGTTAGTGAAGTCATAGTTGACTCATGGGCTTTCAAGAGAATAATAATCATATAAGTGTAGCACATAATATCATGTCCCATTACTGAATGTCAATGTCTCTGTTATCGTGTCTCTCCTTTTAGTAGGTCTTTTTAAAGAAAATAAACATAGTTAAGAGCAATGAATATACGTGTACATACTGTGGAATGTGTATGTGATTCAGTAGGAGTTATCTTGACATTAGAACGGACTCGGCAAAACTTATACATACATAAATTAAACTTTAAATGACGAAAACCCTACTGGGGAGGAATTTCTCGAAGTAAGTACTTTCCAGTAACCCCAGTCACATTTGTCGCACGGCGGCCGCAAGTCGACCGCAGATCAATTAAATCGGTGAATATCTGCGGCGAGCGTAGAAAAACTACGCTCGCCTTGCGGCCTCCGTACGGCGTATGCAGATTTTTACAGGCCGCAGGGAAGGCGTAGAAATTATAACTCGGAGTTATAATTTTTGTTCATTTCTGAGGTCCCCGTAGAAATCAACTGACTCAACAAGATTGAATCATTATTTGTCAATGGTTCCCGATCACTTTTCATTTGATATTACATCCTAGCCATAACTATGAATAACATTTATAAATTGTCCTGCTGTAAAAAATGAAAAAAAACTATTATTTATCAATAGAAATTAAAAATTCACCGTGCGGCTGCCGTGGGAAATGTGACTGCAAAAGTATGAGAGCGCAGAAATTCTGCGGCGAGCGTAGAAAAGCTACTGGCCGCAGAAATGATAGACCGCAAGGTCGCCGTAGAAAATGTGACTGGGGTGTTATGGATCACATGTAGATCAAATCTTATAAGTCACCATAATCGTGTATATACCTTTTATACGTTCGAAACTTATATCTCAACTTTTATAAGAACTGTAAAATTATTCACTTGTTCATGTAATGACGTTAAAGGATCTTGTTTGTAGAACACCACGCCACACGAGCTAGTTGATGAATATGCTTTACAACACGGAAACTATTTATGTCAACTTTGAACAATATACCAATACGGGTTAACCCAACTAATTGTTATAACATGCGTATTCCCATACAAACGATCTGTCTTCAAGAGAAAACTAAGATTTGTGGACATGTTTTGCTATCATTGCATCCTACCCCAGTATGTCCTCTGTCAGTCAAAAAAGTTTGAATCAAAACTCCCCACGAAAATCAAAAGATCTCACCTGTTGAAGACGCCATCTATAGAAAATGTCAAAAAATGTCATTCTGATTTTGACAGATGGAGGCAGGTCAAAAAGGTCAAATTTTTTAAAGAAAATGCACCTTAATCACATCAAATCATGTCTCAGAGTTGGTCCACACATACACTTTTTCATTCATGTACTTACCAAAATCCAACCACTGGTGATGCTATTGTAATTACAATAATTGGACTAAATTTTTGTTTTTATAATGCCATCTATTCGTCTTCCCACTCGGCGGAAGGATCTAATGGTTGTGTGTCTCCTACGCGATAATGTTTAATTTAGTTCAGTTTAGTTACCTCCCGTTTGGAGAGCTCTCATGTATGGTACAACTTCGTCTACATCCGGTTTCTTTCCCATTTGATTACACAGGGGTGCTGTTTTCAATGCTGCACTGCGACTCTATTAAACATTTATGTAGAGTTTCATTTGCACAAACGATAGGTACAGGGTGTTCTAAAAGTAACAGGACTGGTGCTGGCATTTTGTTAAATATTCACCAATCGTCTTCAAAATTTTGCATTTTGCATTACTTCCATGCATCGTTACTAAAACTGCAAGGTTTCGACAAAAATATGAAACTCTGGTAGAGTTATGGTTGCTATGGTAACATGACATCACAAGATACCCGGGGCAACATCTTTATGCTGAAAATTCCAGAGACATTTAGCATTTTGTACATCCCATATCAAAGTTGAAATGCAACAACTGGTGGGAATTACATTTGCTTTACATCATTTGATATTCCTATGTATTCTCCTCTATGAAATGAAGGCTTCTCTTTGCAGGTCAGTAGAAGAGTAGCACTCTGTATCCATGACTCAAACACATGAGTGAACCCATTTGAGGACATGTCACGCAGGGTAGATTGAACAACTTGGAGAAGGTCATTCTCATCTTCACTGGTGATCCACTCGATTACTCTGGTTACCGAAACGGTTCGTTTTGGTAACAAAATGTCGGAACATCGAAGGTACGATTTTTCTTTTTTCCTTATTTCACACGTTGTAGGCAGAATTCCCACGACATTTTTAACACAAACGTGTATCAGTATCATTTGTTTAAGAAAATGTACATATTTGCGAACAAATAGCTCAGAAGACAACAGAATCGTCGATTTAATTCCCCACTTAAATTACATAAACGGTTTAGGTTAAAAGTGCAGATCTTAACTGTTTTATTATATGAACTTTTACTATTGCAATGCGTCTTATGTTTTTTTTATTTTATTTTTTTATAATTTTTTTTTATTTCAAAGAATAAGCATGTTAAAGCAATTGCAAAAAACAATTACAGTACAGTTACTTGGTAAACCTACATTTAACAATTTTACAATACAGTACAGTGGTTAAATATTTCGTCTTAAGAGACATACCATTGGCATTTTCTTATTTAAAGGAAAAAATCATCAGTTTCATTTGTTTAATTTTGTTTCCATGTGTTTTACACCTTTTGCGACTTACCTTTTTACAAAAATAAATATCCTTCTAGATATTTTTGAACAAGCTTTCCGATGGAACCATTGATTTATATACACTTGTTTATTTATTTCCAATTAATTACCTGAGGTCTGTCATCAATATAGCCTGAGGGCTAAATTACGACATAGCGAAGGCATATATTCAACGATACGGACATAATTGTATTACATACTATTATATCATGGCTACATTATATCAATGGCGCCGGGTGTCTGTGTGCCAGTAAAAGAAACGAAACACGACGTCCCGATGACGTCATTAAATTGTCATGGTAAAAAGTTTGGCGGCTACACAGGAATATATAGCCGACTTTCAGCTCCATTAACATCAATACAAATGCCTTGCTGGATATGTAATACAATTACATATAAACGAATATTTTAACAGTAGACATACATTTACAAAATTCTAAATATTAAACAGCATCTTAAAAGTTAATAAGAAACAAACTATGTGGAATGTTTGGAGCTAGAGCAAGGGGGTACCAGACTAGCAATGGGTTTGTGGGTTCTCAACCGTGCATAACTGACATATCACTTGACAGATAATACAGACTTTTGGCTTGCAACCGATGATACCTCAAGAAAAGCCGGAGATTACCAAAGATTTTCTTTGCAAACGAAGTTGGCCAGGGATACCACGAGTGTGAAGAGGACGTCTCTAAATTGTCAAAAAGAGGCTCGTCATTCTCCGTCAGATTGAATCTGCAAAATTCGGTTGAAAGGGGTACCTTCGGTTGTGTGGCGCAACCTCGATTAAATAGAAAAGATGCTGTCTCGTTTTCAACCGGCCGGTTCGTGTTCCTATATGATGGTAATTTATGCCACTAAAAGAGAGGTGATGACATAAAAAGATGATACATCATGTGATATAAATGGTCTTCATTGAATTGATTTCACTTGCACCTACGTGTAGCTTGTATTCGCCAATGCAACTTTCAGCTGTTGGCTACCGGTTTAACTTATTTTTCACGGCACACTCATTTCTATATCATTGATATAGAAAACTCAATCATTCCCAAGGTGGGCTGGGTAAAATTGTAATTAATCTTTTATATTTTATAATTGAATCGTAACACTGACCACTATAAATAAGTAAATAAACTATAAAAAAAATTTTAAAAATAGAAATTAAAGACCCACGTCTAGATCTCAGCTGAGTCTATTACATCGATAATTATATTGATAGCCATATTCACATGTAGAACAATCTGACACTTGGAAGTTCAAGCATGACTCATTTTATCTAAGCAGTAAAATGAAAATAATGTAGACACAAGGTGTGACATAATTAGAGGTTATGTCACTATCGTGGCATATATGCCCGAGGTCTCAGTGATATATGGCCCGACCTTGGGAGGGACATTGATCTCTGAGAACCGAGGGCGTATGTGCCACGATAGTGACATAAACGATTTATAACATACCTATGATGATGTAGACTGGTCAGAGAGTACCGTTTTCTTATAGAATTGACAAACAAATGGTTTGAAAATGATTGAAATGAGTTTAGAAAAATTGCTCGCGCAGTTTTATCTTCGATTGATTGGTTATGACGTCAGCGCCTTGACCAATCAGAAAGTTAGCGGGCGCGGGCTTTTCAAAACTTATATTGGCCCGCTGTCTTGTGTACACTTTGCACTATACATCATCATAGGTATGTTATAATGAGCAATATATACATGTTAACGAGCATTAGCAGACTTATAAATACACAAATTACTCTCCCGAAGAGAAGTGTACACAAATAAAAATAATTAGCACTCTATCAAAAAGGTTTGGGACATTACTGCGTCACTTATCGAAAATTGATTTTGTCTACATGACTACCTTACTGGTCTACACAATCACATGTATATAGCATTAGTTTAAATTCATGCCAAAGTCTTTAAGGCATTTGTTTATACTGTCGTCGTAGTTATTTGGGGAGCTTAACTTGAATTTTTCGGCTTCTTCCTTCGCTAGCTGAACAGCCTTGGATACATCTTCGGGATCTTCGGGTTTACATGTTTCTTTCCAACAATGTGTAGCGTTGATCATACCCTTAACAGCCTTGAAATACTTCTTCCATGTGGGTATTGCACTGTTCTGCAAGGATATAAAAATCATGTTTCATATTTCCTGCCAACAGTAGCAAAGTGGTTCTCAAATCTAAAAATATCGTAAAATGGGCAGTGTTTGCTATAAAACTTCTAAAACTATTATTTTACAATGAGTAGATTAAAAAGTACCTACTGAAAAATCGTGTTTTCAAGTTCATAGGAAATATTTATTTTGCTAAGAACAGTAATTGACTATGGACGTCCTTCGGTGATTTATGTCTTCGACGCTAGGATTTTGAACGGTTTTGTATAAAAAACCTCCTACCAACCTACTCACCTACGTGGGACATGATACAGTCATTGAAGGGTTCAATCTTAAAGATTTTTAAATCTTAAGATAGCTTTAATTATTAACATTTCTACAATTCCGGCTTTATTTTATGACTAGACGGATGACAGATCCATAAATAAAGGCATATGGGTGCATTGTAATGTGTAATGTCCCGAGGGTGCCCCAAGGGAATAACTAACTAACAACCGCGAGCATAGGTCCAACAAGCCAGATAAAGAAATTGAAAGAAAGTGTGCTGAATTTGATGCCCCGAGTGGGAATCGAACCCAGCTGGGCTGTAGTTAGTAACTTGCTATCAAGGGTCGTTACAAATACATCTATAATTCATCATAAACTAAGATTTAATAAACTTTAAAATTGAACCTTTCGAAGACTGTATCATGTCTAACGTACGTGGGTAGGTGGGTATGAGGTAGGAGGTTTTTTATACATAAATAGTAAGGAGACGGATACAAACATAAAAGAGAGTGTGCTATATGCAATGCTCCGTGTAAACCACGACCACTCAGATCCTAAGCCTGATGATCTGCCGACTGAGATGAAAGGGCTAGTATTAAACAAACACTGGATGACCATGAGGTGGATATGCCAGAATACCTATCCGAGGAAAAAAATACTAGGCAAGGCGAAGCACCTCCCTCGAGAAATACTTTATTTTAAAGAATGGGTCTACTAAAACAGAAGCCGAGCCTAGTATTTTTTTTTGAGGATAGGTATTCTGGCATACGGGATGGTTGGACATCTCGTTGCTTCAATACTGGATAGAACGAGATCTTGCTGCCACGTATGGCAATAGACCCTGCAGCTCTTAACCAATCAGATTTGAGTATTTTAATGAGGTGCATAATAAAAGTCGTTACAAGCTAAAAACAAATGAATGAATTATAACTCTACCTTATATCTCTGGATGGCATCTCTGTAGTCATCGATGGCATCTTTAAATGCATGTCTGGCTAGATTGAATTCCGCGCAAACAAAAAGGTAATCTGCTCCTCTCTCCAACATCATAGTTTCCTCTTGAGATGCCATATCTTTCTTCAATCTATCCACGCATTCGATTCCATACGACTCGATCTCCTCCAGTTTCAACTGATCCACCTCGAGATTAAGCAATTTCATGCATATGTATAAAAGCTTTCTTCTACATTTGCAGCTGTGGTGAGGATCGTCTTTGCCTAACTTCATTATACCATGCTGGAACCATGTTTTATCAACGGCTTCTTTGAGAAGCTCTTCGTATTTTTCCTTCCCTTTGTACAAATCGATTAGCCTGTGTTCTGGCAGTTTTGCTTTGCCATCATCATCTGCATCTTCCGAATAACCATGCAACAATGCATTGCGTTTAGTGAGAATTGTGTGGAGCACGTGGACCTTGGTATTTTCGGTAATAACTTGACATATAGCGTGCGACAATTTTATGGCTGATTTGAACTTCTTTATGCGTTTGATATCTTTGATGTTCTCGTACTTTTCTGCATTTTTCAAGTATAATCTTCCGTACTCATGGAGGACAGAGGCAAAAAGCTCTGGAAGGTACATTCGCTTCAATTGCTTTTCAGGAAGTGCAACGCCGTGCTCAACTAGTGTGTGGTACGTATCAACATCAACTAGAAACTGGGACCCACGCTCTGGGAATTTGATGTCTCCAGCAATACGTCTCAGTTGCTCAACGTCGGTTTTATTTAGAACTAACCCTACGACGAAGTTAGACAGGACGTTTACATCCTCATTTTGAGTGACCAATTTCTGCAATTTTTGGTAAAAGTCTTGAGCTATTGCCTCAAAATCCGAACCACTTTGTAAACATTTGTCATTTGCGTCAATAAGTCTGAAGAACAGATCAACTGCTCGTTCCAACTTTTTCTCAGATTGCTCTTCCCGTTCGGTTTTAGCGTAGACATTTCCAAGTACATCCGACAGACCAATTTCCATCAACGTGAGATAAGGACGTTGCATTTTAGTAGGATCATCGTGCCTTAGCTGTTCTACACGGTCCAAGGCCTCTTCGACGTGAGGTAAAAGTGCGGCGTTTGTTTTGAAGTACGCCATGAATCCTGTATCCTTGGCAAAACAACTTAGTAACGCTTTGAACAGTTTTTCAAGCGGTTCATTTCGAGAGTCAACATCAACTTGCATTCGAGTAGCTAACTTAACCAAATCGTGACTGTCCAAATATCGGTCTGAATCTTCTTTGAATATGGTTACAAACCATCGATTTTGCATTTTATCAATCAATTGATTAATGTATTGCTCTAGCTTTTCCTCGGGTAATGGTGTCGGTTGGTCTAAAATCATGGATAGTAGGTTAACCAGAAAGAAAACGGGAATCGCGTTCGAATTCATATACGCCATCGACTTAAATACCAGACACAGGCCCCTCGCGACATGAACTTTATCTTCGTTAAATTCTTCTTCTATTTCTTTCATCATACTTTTCACACTTTGAACGTGGGCTTTTACGAATCCTCGTGTGTTGTAATCTGATCCAAGTGCGTTTAGTGTTCTCTGTTCGATCATAGGATTTGTATCTACGTCGTTTACGGCTTTTAGATATTGTTCGATTGTCGTTTTCTGTTTGTTAATATCGTACACTGCACACACAAGGGCGCACGGCAATCGACCCATTTCGTTCCAAAGTTTAACTTTACTGCTCAAGGTTTCCGTCTCCAATTCACGTAAAAGTTCAAGCATTTCTTCTTGGCTGAAACCTTCAATTTTTAGGCTGTTCTCGTTACCATGTTGGACTGTTTGCGTTGTTATGATAACGGTTATATTATCAGCCAATCGCGTGTCGAAATGTTTTTGAATTATTTTTTGGGTAGCAGATGACACATCATCGAATATTATAAAGAACTTCCTGTCAGATTCTCGTTTCATTTCTTCGCATATATCCTCCAGTAGCAACGTTACGTCGGGATCCACATGTTGAAACCTTCTACTGCATTTTGCAAGCGCATTGCGAATATTTTCCTCTGTTTCACTGTGAATGAACCACCCACACTCATATTTTTGTCGGTTATCTTCCCAGTAACGTTTCGCAATTTCAGTTTTTCCACTTCCACTTAGTCCTATAATGTCAACCGATATATTCTTAGACACTGCGTCACTTTTGAGTGGATCATCTACCCTTTTACAATTAAACATGTGCTATATAGTCTTGAAATCTTGCTCAACTCTATTTTGATGAAATTCATAAGAGATTTGGATTTTTAACCAAGAATGACTCACAGTTACCTCTCTTACATGATGTTGCATATCACATACTTAAATTGAGTAATGTGGTTACCTTTCTACTAGAACTTTGATTTACGCTCATTTATACTATTGAACGATGATGCCTACCTGTAAGAACAATACTGTTTTCATTTTCCAAATGTTTCTTGCATTTGTTCATGTCTTCTGTTGTAACAAAGTTGCCAACCGTCTTTGCAATATTGCACCTTTTTCGATGAATCACACCTTAATATAAAAGTTATGATAGTTACGTCAAGGTTGTGGATCTATTTAATTAAGAAATATAGACCGAAGAGCAGGGATAATATCGTCGAATACACCCCGCAGGGCTAGGCACAAACGTTTTCTGTACCCCAAACGACCGAAGGGAGTGAGGTGTTCGAATATTCATGTTTCAAATATTCATTATGGTCCGCCATTACTACGGCCCGCCGTTATGACGTCACACATTAAACATATTACCAGGGGTTTTGTTCGCGAATATACCCCGGGTGAAATGTTGACTTTGTTTACAGTTTATAGAAGGCGTGAATACAGTCATGTTCGAATACAAAATATAACATAGATGCACAATGATGATATAAGTTCTTTAAATGGTATCAGAGAACGTAATACATCTTTACATGAATGCGACCCTCGTATTTTGATAGGGGGCAGAATCGTCGATTTAATTCCTCACTTAAGTTACATAAACGGTTTTGGTTAAAAGTGCAGATCTTAACTGTTTTTCGAAAAACCGTTTATGTTAAGTGAAGAATTAAATCGACAATTCTGTTGTCTTCTGAACAATTTGTTCGCACATACATGTATGTACATTTTCTTAAACATATGATACTGATACACGTTTGTGTTAAAAAATGACGTGGGAATTCTGCCTACAACGTGTGAAATAAGGAAAAGAGAAAAATCGTTCCTTCGACGTTCTGACATTTTGTTACCAAAACGAACCGTTTCGGTAACCAGCGTAATCGAGTGGATCACCAGTTGAATTGATAGATTCTGTAGATGGTAAGATAGGTAGGTCGCAGAACAATATTGAGCGATTCTGGTTTTGGACTGTCTGTATATTTTATTACTTTAGCCCAATACCAAAGTATGGTATATACAATGTGTTAAAAAACGCAACCCAAAGAAATCGCTATATCTAATTCAATAATATTCATTTTTCAGGAAAGAAAGGAGATACTGTGTATGTTATAGCTCTTGTAGCTCTTGTGGTTAGCTGTAAAACATGATGCCTTGAACACCTTCTCAAAGTCTTTTGCACGAGAAAAATACGAAAAAAGCCCAGGCAGGGGTGACTGCAATCGACAAAATCAAATTTAAGACAAATCATCTTCATTCAATGTATGGTAAATCTGTAGATTGAAATCAAAATCACTTCAGGGACTTTACACTTATGGTCGAAATGCTTTCAAAACGTTGCCACACGCCCTGGTTCAGGCAGACTTAAGAAGACATTTTGACCAGGACTGTTAAGTTTCAAGAGTGATTTTAATGAAACACCACAAATTCACCACAAGTTGAATGAGGATAATTTGTTCCAAATCTGGAGTGCCAAAACACTATGGTTAGAAAGTTACTCCGTCTTATTAATGTGGCAGTTACCTCTGACTATGTTTTTCGTATTTTTCTAATATGAATGTCTTTTGAGCAAGTGTCCAAGGCATCATGTTTATCAACTAACTAATAACAAAAGCTATACATACACAGTCTTTTCTCTCCTGAAAAAATGAACACAATTGTATTGGTATTTCCCAAGATATAGCAATTTCTTTGGATTGCGTTTTTTGAACACCCTGTACAATTCGATATTAAACGCCAAGGGACACCTTACCATGCACCCTACGTAAAAGGTATGTATCAGCTATTCCTTTCAGCTCACAATCAACCAATGCCTCATAAAGGGTATCAATAGGGTTGTTCCCGCGATAGTTCTGGTGCCATTTCCTTAGCATCTGGTACGCTGCTTCCTCACTGTTATCTTTATGAGTACTGTCGATGTTTTCGATATCCTCATCGGTGACACACAGTCTCCTCGCCACCTTGCGGGCATTTTTTCCTAGACGACTTGCAATATCTTGTAGCCACTGTTGGTGACCTGCGAACCAGTGGTTATCAATATGAAAATATATATGACATTTCAGAAAGGGAAATGCTGAATATGGAAACCTTCATGTGCAAATAAATAACATACAAATCGATCATCGGTTTCATCATTACAGGTTGATTAAGAGGAGGGAAAGCCCCAGAGTTTAAAGATTACAGACATAATTACCTCTCTTGCTTACCACCTTCGTTCGTTCGAATTTTCATCGGCTAGTTATCAAATACTACACTTCGATGGGATGTTTTAATTGATATAGGCATATTCCGTACACCTTTCTTTATCTTGATGTGAAATGAGAAGCTATGATATTGGTTAACACGCCAGAAATGAAGATAATATTATTCGAAGCATATTTCGAAAATTTTGAAACCGCCTTTGATGACGTCATTTGTTTGTCGACTTTTGACCAATCAGCGACGATGTCATCCCAATACAGATTTACATTATAAGCGTATGTCATCTTTGAACCCTGGTGTTTTTCCCCCTCTGAGGTTGATTATGCCTCGATCACATACATGTAAGCCTCGCGATTCATTGGCCAGCGCCCGGCCAATTGAGTATTTCGTTCAGAATTGCATTCATTTTTGAACAAAATGCTCAATCGGTTGGGCGCCGGCCGAAGAATCGGAGCTTTTGTAATACCTGGGTCACATTTGGCCCGATTGAGTGTTTAATTCAAAACTGACTACAATTTTAAACAAAATACTCAATCGGCCGAGCGCCGGCCGATGGATAGGAGAAACCTGACATTAGATAGGCATTACTTATAATGTCATTATTTACAGCTAATATATTTTTAATTGACTTACGATCGGCTGCTGTGTTTGACATATCGCCTTCTCAGTTAGCCTATTCTTGTCTGCCAAGGTTCGAGGGTTGTTCGATTTACATAAACAACTCGATGCGGTTTGTTGTTGACCCTCTCATTAAACATTTTTTATGTTGTACGTGTAACATATATGTGATCTACATATCTTTCTGAACTATAGTCTTATTGAGAATTAATTGAATAGATAAAACAACTTGTCAACCTGAAGTTATAAAAGATCATTGATCATAAACGGCCCCGTTGTATACATGATCTACGTGATAATTTATAATACAGGGCGTCCACAAAAAAAGTATACCCAACTTCAAAACCAAATAATTAGAATCCTAAGCAATCTTTTCGAAATCCAAAGGTAACAGCAAAAAGCCTTATTAGTCCTCCATCAAATGGTACCTAGATCATTATGTAACTGTCATGTATGACTGAGATATCATGACCATTCTGATAGGTGGTAAAATTAGCACTGTGCCAAGTTATATTCCTGTGTGGCAATCGATGTGTAATTGGCTTAGTATTCTTTTTCTGTTACATTATGTTAGATGACAGGACTTTCATTATGAACTGGACTGGGGGCTGAGTAGCTCTCTTATGAAAAAAGATTTGGCAAAAAGGTTACTTACTATAAAATAGGCCTGCAAACATGGTTCAACTGACACCTGAGCAGTAGAGCCAACAAAAAGCAATTCCAGTGTACTGTTTAAGAAACCCTATTCTTACTATTGAAAATGGATTCTAGCAATACTGTCCAACGTGAATCTACTTGTTGAAACTCAATCAACTTGAGTTCTTCTGAGAAAATAAGGATTTCAGCAAGGGTGTATTGACTTAAATGGGGGATACAATTGACTTCAAGGCTGCATATCATCAAGTAGAAGTGTCATTGCTGTTCAATAAGCTCTTGTGATCCAATTTCCGAGAGGAAGGTAGCAATCAAAAGTTATGGAAAATTATGCAAAAAGATTGAAGAACATGGGACTAGTTTGAATTTGAACATTAATAATGTTTTGAACACAAAAAAAACATTCATTGTGTCAATCCTACTTGAATGCTAATTTGGCACAGTGCTGATTTTACCACCTTTCATAAAAGTCTTGATTACTCAGTCATACATGACAGTTACATAATGATCTAGGTACCATTTGATGGAGCATAAACTAGGCTTTATACTGTAGCCTTTAACTCTTTATAAAATTGCTCAGAATTCTGGTATCCTGGGTTTGAAGTTGGGTATACTTTTTTGTGTACGCCCTGTATAGTACTACAAGTGTATATTGAATTTTATAGATACACTTTATTGTTCCAGAGACAGGAAAAAGTAAAAACATGCACTAGTATAAACTCGACCCAGGAGATGCAGTAGTAAAATGTATTACAATAGTGTATCTTATGCTTTATCAATTTTCATCCTTATTCATGTGCAAGTATGTGCAAATGTTGTTAGATGTTGACATAATATACACTACAGATAAACGACTTTTAAAGCATTTGATAACCTCCTGACCCCCAGAGAACAGATATACTACTTAACGGTATAATGTCAACTTGAAAATATATAACTTATGGGAACAGCTTTAATTAAGACTCAAGGTAACACCCCAGTCACATTTCCTATATACGGCGACCTTGTGGTCTATCATTTCTGCGGCCAGTAACATTTCTACGCTCGCCGTGGAATTTCTGCGCTCTCATACTTTTGCAGTCACATTTCCCATGGCAGTCGCACGGTGAATTTTAAATTTCTGTTGATAAATAATACTTTTTTCATTTAATTTACATCGGGACAATTTATAAATGTTATTCATAGTGCTAGGATGTAATATCAAATGAAAAGTGATCGTGAAACATTGACAAATATTGATTCAATCTTGTTGAGCCAGTTGATTTCTACGGGGACCTCAGATATGAACAAATATTATAACTCCGATTTATAATTTCTACGGCGACCCTGCGGCCTGTAAAAAACTGGATACGCCGTACGGAGGCCGCAAGGCGAGCGTAGTTTTTCTACGCTCGCCGCAGAAATACACTGATTTAATTGATCTACGGTCGACTCACGGCCTCCGTACGACAAATGTGACTGGGGTGTTATGCGTTTGGGTTGGACTTAGACCTTGCTCGATGACTAGACATGTTTTGATTTTTGAATTTTAATTTTTGTTTTATTTCTGGATTACTGAGTTTTGGTATAGGTTTCTGATATGTACAATGGCCTTCCCTGAACCGCCAGTTTCCTTAAGCGTACGTAATGACATTGAATTTGATTTATCTGATAGTAGTGCTATCACTGGAGATTATACAGAAAGCACTTTCTATTCACAATCTGAACCTCCATCTCCCTGTGCAACACAGGCTGAGGAAGATCTCATTCAAGAAATTCAAGATCTCTGTGGCTCCCTGACTAAGTCTGCCCTCATTCTAAAATTTTGTGATAACCAAGATACAGTTGGCTTGGTAGCTACACGCGGAGCATTATTCGAATACGCAAGAATCCACAAGAAAGATGTGATGCCTAAAGGTGCTCTTGTGCGCCGTCTCCCAAGTAGAAAGAAAAAGCCAGTTCCAGTGCGAATGAAAAACTCGCTACTGATATTTATCACTTATTTCTTTTCATCGAGGGAGCGGGAAATATCAGCGATATTAAAGCTATGGTAAACCCACGGAAAGTCCGCTCAATTCCTACTAAACAGGCTTTTGATCCAACAGAGATTACAACATTAGTCCCATCACTTGTGTTAGAATCGATGATGAATCATCTATTATCTATTGCAAACATCTCTCAAACACTGAATGAACAGAATCGTGAAATGAATCAAATTCAAAATGAAAATGAAGCGTTGAAACGCAATGAACAAAATATGAGAGATTTAGAGTTTAGAGCTAAAAACGACTTAAAACAAATTCGAACAATGAGATTCCTCTTTTGAAATCAAAATTATCTTTATGCGAAAATGAATTGAAAACAAAACTGAACACAATTGAGGGTAAATTAGCTACTGTCCATAAAAATTGTGTCAACACAAACAACGCCTTAAATAATAAGTAATAACGTGAATTACTTACAGAAGAACTAAGTAATCATATTGAGAGTGGTAGTAAGTTATATCTAGAAGAAATTACTTAGTAATATAATTACATACAAATCAAATGAAAATACAGATATTAGTAATTTATTAACATTGATAGTATAATAATTACTGAATTTAGTGATTCACATCAAAAAACAATGACCTAGTAATTACTAGTAATATAATTACATGTTAAGTAATTTTGTAAAATACTTTAAGTAATAAATTAAATTACTTAAACTAGTTTTCAAGTAATTTTTATTTAGAGTGAATAGTCCAAATGCATATTACATTTGTAACTTTTAAACTGTATTTATTGTCACATGTGTCGAATATCTTGGTCTAAAATAAAATACTAGGTTCCTATATGATATATACATTATAGGTCTGTTTTTTCTCAAATTGACTTTGGATATGGACATTATGAAACAAAAGTTTATCAAAATTTTAGTCAAAGTGTTTGATCGAATACTTTACACATTCAGCTATTAACGTTAGATAGGGCTCACGGTCAATTGGTCGACACACATGAGTTATGTTATGGTTTACGTGTAGATCAAATAAAGGGTTAAAGGGTCTTATTTGTATAACACCACGCCACAGGGGCTACTTGATGAATATGCTTTACAATACAACACGGACAATATTTATGTCAACTTGGAACAATTCATGAAAATCAATTTCAAATTGATTTTAGTGTGACAAGACCCTCTTAAGTACAAGTTTACGTATACGATTTAAAAAAACGTTTACCAAAAAGCTCTCTATTGTCATTGCATGTGCTGGTTCGTTTAATCTGTAAATAAGTAGCTTTTCAATCTAATAATAACATGTGTGGATTGTTTTGAATACTGTTAATTGATTGTCATCATATAACGTGGCTGATAATGCTGATGCCCAGCCACAAGCACATGTGCACTTGTTTAATGTATTCTTTGTAGAAATATATAAATAAATAAATAAATAAATAAAAAATGGGTGTATTATTCTTGGTCCCCACCTGGTAACGTCTTGATAACGGATGAACTTCTGCCAGAGGAATTTTTTATTTTCATCAAGGAGGTCGAATTGTATTCAAATATTTTTGACGTATGTTAATGGTAAAATACAGTTACTGAAAAGCGAGTCAGTCACGAGTGTTATATACACTCCCCTCCATAAGTTTGGCAACCTTTTTTCCCCCATTGAACTACGTGTTAAAGCCTCTTTACCTTTGAATTTTTATTTACTTAACCTGCGATGAAAATACTTATACAATTGATGGAAACGTAATTTGACTTTAATTCCAATACCTCCAAATTTTCACAATTTTTTCCCTCAATTACAATAGGTCGAAGATTGATGGTAAATTTGATGAATATTTGAAAATCGACATTCCAATGTTAACCAATGGGAAATGGTAGGTTTGCCGCAAGTCATATGACAGAATATCCATCTATCCGAGTTCTTGCAAAAAATACGAGTTAGGCAGGCAATTGAATTTGCTAACTTTATTTGACAAAAAATTGATATGTTTCTTCAGGTTCAACAAAGTTATAGGGCTTTAAAGTCAAAATTGTTTTTCAAAAAAAACTCTCTCATTGAAATAACACAGGGTGCGAAAAAATATTTTCAAAAATGACTTTGAAGCGCTGTAACTTTAATATTCATCAAATAAACTAAACACTTAATGTTAAAAAAAAGTAAGACAGTTTAATTTTATATAGAAAATTATTTTTTGCTGAATCTTTTACTTTAAAGATATCCTGATTTTTGATTTGCCCCGAACCCTCCATTTCCCATTGGATTACATGGGAATGACGATTTTCAAAAATTCATCAAATTTATCATCAATTTTCGACGTATTGTAATTGAGGAAAAAAATTGAGAAAATTTGGAGGTATTGGAAAAAAAGTCAAGTTACGTTTCCATCATCATCGTTGGTTAAGTAAATAAAAATTCAAACGTAAAGAGGCTTTTCACGTAGTTCAATGGGGGAAAAAGGTTGCCAAACTTATGGAGGGGAGTGTACATTCAAGGGCTTTAATAATCGAAATATATTTTCTGACTATTTTGCCTTAAGTTGTGTCTTAAAGCGGAAATAATGTCAGGTATTCTAATCATCATTATATGTAGTTACAATACTACTGAATAAAATGCAATAAGTTGAAAATCTTGTTGTGTGTTAGTTTTTGTATAATATTGAAAATAAAAATCATAAATTGACCCAGTGACCCAGTTGTCAGTTGGACGGGGCTCGCCATATTTCCCTCAGAGACCCGGATGTAGACCGGAAGTGTGACGTTTCTGCGACTGAGCCGCCATCTTGAAAGCATTCACAACAAAGAAAAATGCCTATGTGTTGTGCGGTAAATTGTTCAAATATTTCCACTGATAGAGCTAGACTTGGGATAAGGACTTTAAAAAAATGCCTGAACGACAGTACGACAGTCGGCTGGTGACGGTAGAATTAAAATCTGTCGACAGTTAAAACCAGCTGTCGTTGTCGTGGACCGAATCCCCGGGGAATAGAACACATTTAAAACAGTGTCACTTACTTTAGTTTCTGAAAGGTTTCATGCACGGCTTTTAACAATCAAAGATTCCTACTTATTATATGTCTTGTTTGTCGTCCTATATCTATCCTGGGATTGTGTTTTTTCTCCCCAATACGGGAAAACATTTTGAATAAAGGATTTTCCAATTCCGCCATCGAATAAGTAGGGCATCTTCAGAAGTTTCGTTTTTGCTTCAACTCTTCGCGCATGCCTAGTAGTTTGATATAATTTACAAGTGCGCATGTGTTTTTGGAATTAAGCCAATCAAATCGTTCATTCTAATGCGCATGAACTAGATTCCGAACCAAGAGGAACTGGCGCAGATTGCCTCAAATGCTGAAATCGCTCTTCAAAAGCTCTTCAAAATAGATCGGTGAATAAAAATGAATAACAAATGAATTTAGAGTGGTTTATTTAGTTCGATGTCAGGATATTTCAAGTAAGTATTGATTATATAGACGCTACAGTGATGGTGGTTCTAGACACGCGGGGCAAGTTGTTTTAGCTGATTTTCTCATCAAACGAAATCGTAGATTGAACACAATTTTACTTCCGGGTTTACCCACGACAGAACCTTGCGTCATCGATCGCGATCTTTCATGACGGGGAATACATTATCAGTTCCGCCTAATATTTATAACAGAGTATCCAAAATCCAATTAATATCTGCCATTCGTCATTTTATTGAATAAAAGATCCGAATATGTTTAATCTTCAAGCAAAACGATCGAGAGATAATTGATTGTCAACATAAAATTAACGCATTTTCCTGTCATGTCGGTAACCAGCGTTCACGAGTTGGTCAGTTTTTGGTTTTGATTGGCACTTTGGGAGTTAATTCTATGAATTGTAAGTATTGATGTGAACATGGTCATGTTTTCTCGAACAGGTGATATCATATTATAGTTTGTCAATATGCCAAATACATCGTCAAAATCTTCAAATTGCTCCATTTTCTTGTTAAGAAGTTCGTAATATTTTTCAATGTGGCCGCCCCGCTACAATTGCGCATGCGCATTTTCGGGCCAATCAAAATGCTGGAATTTGTCGAGTCGTAGTGACGCCGCTCATGAATATTCATAGGTAGGTTATGGCGACCTCCATAATCCAGGTGAAGATCCAATACCTCAAAATTAATTCCAATATATCTGCCGATGCATTAGAAGATCGTCGCTCATACCCGGGTCATGTTTTTGATTATAGACTTATTATTCTGATGAATCATAGTTTTTATTTGAGGTTATTATCCCTTTAAATACACCATCCGGTAAATCAAACCACAGAAATAATTGTGATACGAGTGCTAGTCTTTTAACAAAGTGAATCCAATTACGCAAACCAAAGATTGACAATCATTCAAACAATAAGACTGTATGGATTAGGCATATACATTTATCATGTTCAATTAAATAGATCATTATGTTTATTTAAATGTCAGAGTCCACTCCACTTTTTTCATCGGATTGCCGAAATAATTTGAGATTGGTCATGTATTTTTACAATTTATATATTAAAGTAACTAATATTCATCATACTGTAGTAGTTTGAATTTTAATTGCAATTCTAAGCTTAATTACAGGCCCGTAGCCAAGGGGGGGGGGGGAGTGAGAGAAAGGAGGGGCCGCTCCTCCGCCCAGGCCAGAAATTCTTTCAAAATCATGCAGTTTTTCACCCTTCTGAGCACTTTTCGCATCATTTTTTGCCAAAACTGTCAAAAAGCTCCCCCTTGGTAAAACCGCTATCGCAGGTAAATCCTGACTTCGGGCTTGAATTGCAGGAGTTTCTCTCTTGTAGGTCTACGTCAAAAAATATCCCGAAAGTTCTCTAAAAAGTTCGATATTTAAAAGAACGCCCATGTCGACATTTTGACAGTCAAGAACTAACCCTACTATCACACCAAACTAGTTCTCACTACGTTCTCGAAAACGGGCTTCAACTGTGTACGAACGGACTGGACCTACTAAGAACCGTTTGGGATCTATTTACAAACTTCATCGAACCTACTCGAACGGGTAGGTCCTCTAGAACTTAGACAATGCTCAAAATGTTCTCGTGGTCGTCACGTTCTACAATTAGAACGAGTGACAACGTACTAACGACGAGCTGGACGTACTACTAACGGAACCGTCGTACTTCAATCCTACTAGGGACGTTTTAACAACGAGTTGAACTGTCTGAGGACGTGTTGAGAACGAGGTAGAACTAATTGCAAACGGATTTAAACCGATTAAGAACGTATTTTACACTGTTTATGAACGAGTTAGCAGAAGTATAGCTATCACACCAAACAAGTTGCCACTGCGTTCTTCAAAACTGTTTTTAAACTGTGTGCGAACGGAATGAACGTAGCTGCAACTTTCTAAGGTCTATTTACGAACTTTATGAATGTTCTCAGACGGGATTGTGATTTTAGAATTTTGAATCGATTCAAAAATCGTTGGCGACCATACCGTTCTGTAATCAGGTCATGTTGACCTTCTAGACTAAGGGACGCGTGAAGACTGTTATAGAACGAAGAAGCTAATTATTTCAGACATATTTCCCGACCACAGCCAGATTGAGCCCGTTTTACGACGTTTTCGTAGGACTGGCAAGAACGGGTAAGAACTAGTTTGGTGTGATAGGGGGGTTAACATGGGGTTTTGCACAGTCGGCGTAATTTGAAAATGTACAGGAAACATTGGACTCTTCACATCAATATTTCTCTATTCATTTGATTCTCCAGAACAATATAAAGAAGGGGTAATATAGACGTGAGTATAATTATTAAATTCCATGACATTTATCATAAATATCATTACTACTCAACATAATAAATTTGACAGCAAAATTAACCCGTTTCCGTCACGATTCACATTGACTTCTAATGTGTAAAGATTTTCCCGCGAAAATCTGCCCTACCCTGACGTCAGAGATTTCAGGTTTGCTAATTTATAATATTCGTGAGCTGATTTTGAATAGAATTGGTTAACCTTGACGGGTTTCTAAAGATAATTTAAAATATGTGTGTATGCTTCCTGGTTAAGCATTTATAGTTCTCATTTATTTATACTTTTTCACCCATAGTATGTTTACTGCTTGGGTTCGTACGACCTTTTAAAGGCTATGTCTAACTGTGCGTAATTTTTAAAGATCGGTCGTTACTGTTTGCCTAAGTCTTAAACAAAAATGGCAGTGATTATGGTGGCGATTATTTCTCTATTATGGAGCACTGTTGGTGAGTTTTATTTTATCTGGCAATTGTTTATTTTGGAAGATAAACATCTAACTATTTCGTACATGTATGAGATATTGCGCGATTTTAATGTTATAATGATATTCTGATTTTGTATGAATGTTTGCCATGTTCCCACTTGACCTTGGGGTTACAGGGTAAACATAAGATCAGGTATCATCTACCGGAGAAATATTTCCTAAAGTAATGTAGCATATAGATAAGATAATGCAATTAATCAACTTTTAATAATTGTTATTTATGTTCAACAATATATTTCTTAGAATGTGTACACAGCTCCACTATTATTACCACCTTGCCGGGCCAATTCTAGGGATTTTAGTGCTAGTTTAGAAGGCATTCATTTTACTATATCGACCTGAGCAATATGTGACGTCATAGTGGCGGTCAAGAATGCATTTAACGACCGGTCGAGAATGCAACGACCGACAATTTTCCCCGGGAAATTAGATATCGTCCAGTGCGTAAGATCTCCTTGCTGTTTCAGTCCTGGTCATTAACGGTGGTAATAATACTAAACACGTCATTTCTGCGGGCAATATAATGAAATATTGGACCTTGGCCTTCGGTCCTCGGTCCAATATTTCACCATATTACCCCTCGATATGACGTTATTGTACAAATACACAGATCCACTTTTATTTATGACTGTGACTTTTGCTTCCTTTTATTTTTTCACTTGGTCTCACTTTACACGTTTTTATATCAGACTCATAGGACATTAACTTTTGGAATAATGATCAGAACACCACTAAAAGTTCACATTTTGTTCATGTGCATTCATGACGTCATAATTGCGTAACGATCACAATTTGTGAATGTTCTTAAAGGGTGACGCATATCGTTTAGCAAATCGAACGCTCGTTTCTGGTGTTGCTCACCGTTTAGTATAAAAGGCCCGATCCCGGAATAATACTCAAGGGTTCACAGGTTCGAGATCGTTGTGTCAACACCTCTAACTTTTATATAGCATATTATAGATCGTCACACATTTATAAAAGGGTGATTTTTATTATTTATGGGTGAAGTTTCAGGATCTTCTATTTGTGTATAATAAGGAAAAATTGGCATCTAAATTTCCCCATAACGTAATAGCACACAGCTTGGCATATGAAATATCCTACAAATGAAACAAAGCAGGACAAATTGGTTTCTAATACAAGGATTTATATTGGCTGTTGTACATGTATTCTTTGAACGCAATCACTCTTTGGATAACGTTTTCAAAATCATTATAAACGGATTACTTTATCTCAAAGACAATTTCAATAAACTGGATTTTACAGAACTCCCCTTATTTCTTAAAAATGGACTGATCCAGTTGATTCGCCTGGAGCCGCCATATTGTTTTTATACGGGATGCTAATCGGAACCCTTTAAACGGAGACTTTTAAGATTTTCAAAATTGTGTAAGGTTTTGAAGGCGAAGGGGACGAGCGATAAGTTAACCTTTATTTAACCTTGATCTAATTTAGGTCTGATTTGAATACAACTTTTTTTAATTGCACAATATTGTCCCTGCGAAATGTACAAAACTATAACTACGTTGTAGAAGTAATTTAGGTCCCCCAAAATTCGTCACCCAGACAATTATCACTGAGGATTTTGGTCCCTGGACCATTTACCCTTGGGAAATTTGCCCGCCGGACATACACCTGGGAAATATTGTCCTATAACTAGGGTGAATGGTCTAGATAAGACCATTTTTACAAGGAAATAATGTCTCCCTAATTAGGCGAGTAGGAAATCCTCCAAAGGGCCTTATTTAGAGGAGTTTAAAGTCTTGAGAGGTATGAGGACATATCATATTCCAAATTAAAGCTAGAGAGCTCTAGATTAAGGATCTGATATTAATTTCTTCCCAATATGCCTCTGTTGCTATGGTAACGCCCACTATTCAATGTTTGTTTTAATAAGTGTATAATACATTTTGTATTGTAACTTTCTTGTTTCCCAAACAATCTTAACATAATTGGTATCAAGAGATGCGGAATTAAAATAAATTTTACCTCATGCATAAATTATGCTAATTAGCTCATTTTCAATCAATTATGACGTCATTAACCACTTTTCCCTCAAAAACTGAATTCTGTTTAGAGATTTTCTGTGCCAAACTGCATATAACTCGTCACCATGCCATGGTATTAAAAATGTATCAAAATTGGACATCTTTTTATTCATGTGATATCTCAAACACAGAGAATAGCGTTTAGCAGAATACATACACAATCCGTGTGATTTTATACAGGGTTTGTTTGAGTTTGCACACTCTATGTTTGTAAAATCACACTATATCAAATTAACTAAATTTAAATTCGTTCGAACGTGACATTTTTTCTACCCTGCGTGCAGAGTCTAGTTAAACTACACTCTGCCTAGTAGATACCATATTACAGTTTAGTAGCCTCGCCCCCACGATGGGTACCGGTGACAGTTTGGGTAATAAATCACTTTTGACCTACTCGCTGACCTTTCTTCCACCAATCAGCGAGCTTGAAGAAACATACGCCAAATGCGTTCTAATCAAATATGCGCATGTCATTGGTCAATTCCGGGCACAACGATGACGCCAGAAGGAATGACCATATATAGAACGTCGGTCAAATTTGGGCGACGAACACTGATTGGCGCGGTGAGTTCACAGGTTTATTTTAGTTTGAAAGAGTGAAGAAGAAACTCTCTTTTAAGAAGTGAAGTCAAACGAATGCAAAGGTAAATGGAATTAATCATCTATATTAAATCAATTAAATTATGACGAGCTTTTAAATATATTAAGTAGAACGCGGGAGTGCATTTTTCCGAAGGGAGGGCGAAAACAAGCTTGACAAACCAATAATTAAGACACTGCTCAGTATTCTCGGTGATTCCACCCATGAAACTATATCCAACGTGTAGATGAGTTAACTTATTTTCTTCTGTTCCCGATATGAGCGATCATTAGTTCACTGAATATAGGGTGTCTCAAAAAATGTACCCAAAAGTATATCAACAGCATGGTTAAACTAATCAATATTTTCAGACATATTTTGCATGGTCTTGTAGATAAAAGATGAAAGTTTTTTCCCCTATAAACAGTTTTTAATTCAGTTTTGCCTTTTTGATACTTTAACCCGTTACCTTTCACACCATATATTCAATGTAACCTTATATTTCGATGACAGTCTGCATCCCTACTACTACATTGTTCATCATATTTGATATTTCTGGTGGAATGTTTTGATTTCTGTTTGGATGCTGGTCTTCAGTTGTTCTAGGTCTCTTAGCTTGGGTTTAGCATAAAAATGGTCCTTCAAATAGCCTCAGAGAAAAAAGCATGGGCCGTCAAATGTGGTGAATAGGGAGGCCCTCACAATGTCTTATAGCCCCCTTATACAGAGAGATCAGAGGTTCAAGAAACTGAATTGGTTGGGATTCTAGTGTAGCCTTTGTTGTGTGTATCAATTTGAGAACACTGTGTTTTCATTTGGATATCACTTGGTCTCCAGGCTAGCCTGTCTAACTCTGGAACTAAACTCCTGAATCATTTGCCGATAATTGACCTGATTATCTGTGTTTGGTCTGCCATCGTCATCCTCAAACATCTTTCTCTGTGGCTATTTGAAGGAGTGTTTGAATGCTCATTCCATGCAAAAAGAAGTAGAACAACTTAAGGGCAACATCCAAAGAGAAATCCAAAACATTCCACCGGAATTAATATCAAATGTGATGAACAATGAAGCAGTAAGGATACGAGCTGTCATCGAAATATGAGGTTACATCGATTATGTAGTGTAAAAGATAAAGGGTTAAAGCATTAAAAAGACAAGACTGAAATAAAAATGGTGTATTGGGGAGAAAACTTTCATGTTTTGGCTACATGACCATGCAAAAAATTTCTGAAAATATTGATTGGTTTATCTGTGCTCTTGATATACTTTTGGGTACATTTTTTTGAGACACCCTGTATACCGATCGTTTGCAAATCCGAGAATCCTAAAGTGTATACTGGACGAAACAGATTCAGTCAAAAATCCCCATTCCCGGGCACATGTAAATCAAATTCCCCACCCCCGGGACGACAATCTTCGTCAAATTTCTAACCCTGGGGGCAATATTGTCGATCAAATTCCTTACCCTTCCCGCGTTGGGGGTCTCACGCAAACTTTAAATGAAATGCTCCGGAATCGAATATTGCACCAATATTTTATTCTCAAGTAATTTAGACTGATTCGGCTTCCACTAGGCTACATCATTTTACTAGTCGCGAGTCAACTTTAAAACACTCAAATGACAAATGACAGATGTATTCATTTTATTACTATTCATGATTCACCATTGTCAGCATAAATACTAGAGTTCAGTGTAAACTGACTCTCCTATAGGGAAAAATGGTGTAATACATGCGCCGATATTTGATGCGACGGTACATATTAATGTTTAATTCTTTCGAGATGAATAATACGTATATTGCACACATTTTATTCCCCAAGCCCGATGGGCTAGAGGAATGTCAAAGTGAAGGAGACACGGATTTTCAGAAAAATAGAATGAGATATTAATGCCTTTAAAAAGATTTTAGAATTCCTTTAAACATCCAATAAACCCCACCCCAATAAAATACTAGTATAGTAAATGCACTAGCAAACATCATAAACATGAAACGATTCAGAAGTAGGATCTCAATTTAATGAATAAAATATAAATGAAAAATGCATACAACACGGAAAATATGCGAGAAATGTTGAATTACCCTTTTTGTTCCTCAGTAAGTACCTTATTGCCGCTAATATTCAATCCCTCCTGGAAAATAAGTAACCTATACCAAATATTCCATTCTATTGAGGTGAACATGTATTCACCGAAAATAGAATGGAATATTTGATTTATTATATCATTTGAATCTTCTGCAAATTAGGCGTCTTCAAACCATTCAATACATTATTAGATACAAATACATGTGTCACATATGAATAACCAAGATACAACCACTCTTAGTCCGATGCAAGATATTGTCATCTCAAAAGTCACACGTGCACGATGACTTGTGACATCACTGGTTTATAAACATCAACAAAATGGTAACGAATATACCGTTACTTACTTACTATGAGTACCCATGCTCGTACTCAAAATATAGGCTTTGACGGCATAACAATGAAGCTTGGTTGTCATGCGTATCCAAGTATTTTCTATAATATTGATGTGACGTCATAACAAAAACATTACATCCGGGACTTTCTACCGTGGTATATACTCCGTGGTATATACACCGTGGTATATACAGTTGAAAACGAGGCTGCAGCTGGACAATGCAGGAAACGATGAAATACACCCTAATATTTTTAATCATGTGATCGGTTCTTATCCAATGAGAAAGCGAGAAACATTTCAATGATATAATAAATATTAATATAAGGTCACAACGTAACGCGGGAATTGTGACTTCTAGTCTTTGAGTTGCGTGAAGCCCTCTAATTGGTCAGTTTTTATGCTGTACCAATCTGTATTGCTACTGTATTGTTCACCTTCAGTGATCATCTCCGTAGCAATGCAGAAAATATTAGTACGGAGGAGACAATCTCAGTAGCAATACAAAGCATACATCGAATTTCTAAGGGATTAATTATTAAGTAAATGTATTCGCCTAAGATCATGCGATAAAAACGTTATAGAATGATTTAAAGTGCAATATAGTTTATATTCTGTATTGCACTTCAAATCATTCAATAACTTGTAATTCGACCAATTTGGTAACAATATCACCGATACGTTGAAGACGTTGTGCTGGTACGGGAGTTTAAATAGTGCAATATGTAATACTCATAATGGCCATGGCCACCGCTGCCAATCCCCTTTACAGTCATATACAGGGTGTTAAAAAAACGCAGCCCAAACAAATTGCTATATCTTGAAAAATACTAATTCAATTTCATTTTTTTCAGGAAAGAAAGAAGAGACTGTGTATGTATAGATCATGTAGTTGGTAAGTTGTGAAACATGGTGCATTGGACACCTGCTCAAAAGACAGTTGTACTAGGAAAATACGAAAAACCCAAACAGGGCTGACTGCCACACAAAATTGAATCAGTATTTTCCAAGATATAGTGATTTTCCATTCGCGTTTTTCGTATTTTCTTTGTACGACTGTCTTTTGAGCACAAGACATCATGTTTTACAACTAACTAACATAAGGAGCTATACATACATAGTCTCTTCTTTCTTTCCTGAAAATATGAACACAATTGGATAAAAATTTTCCAAGATATAGCGATTTCTTTCGGTTGCGTTTTTAACACACTGTACATGTAATAAGATCATGTATATAAAGCATTATAATTATATCAATTGTTCATACTTACAGCTTCTACTAGTCCAAGTGCGATGTTGTACATAGGAGGGGAAACAAGACAATTATATAACAATTTTACTCTTGGCGTGTATACGTTAGTTGTGGATGCTTCGAATCAAACCCAGCATTTCAATGGCAAACCGTCGTATCGGCATGAGACTGGAAGCCTATTCCTTTACTATATGCCGAGCTTAATGGATGGACCAAGTTGGAGAATAGGGGACACTATAGGAGATTCAGCGACATATGTAAAGATCGAACAAACTGTAGAGTTACCAGAATTAATAACCGAGCCTCTGTACACTTGGAGTGGATCTGATTGGATAGTAATGGACGGAATATCGATAGTTCCTTTTAATGAAGGTACATGTACTTTGCGTTTCTCTGTCAACAGTTCTATTGATTTAGCCTTACTGTTAAACTGATAATAATGATGAACCTCTTCAGCAGACATTATCCTTTATACCTATTGGTCCGAATTCCGCCTAGTAAGTACGCTTACTTTTAATATCAATATAAAGATGCAAGAAATGTGGAAACGTGGAATAAAAAATCATGTTGATGTATAATTAAGTCAATTCCACACTAGCCATTTTTTTATTATTATATCTTGGTTACCGCCATATTTGGCGAGCAATACCTCATTGGTATATTCCGTATTTTACGTATTTTACACTCGAAGACAGAGCTAGAAACCCCTCCTTGGAGGAGCCCTGTGTTCTTTTGTGTGCAAAGGTACACAGACATACAGGTACACACCACAGCCTTTTATACGAGTCGTGAACCACTCAGTCAAACACCCAGAATTACATAACGCACAAACAAACTTGTCTGAACCGGGAATTTTATCGGAATTATTACGTTTACAATTTCGAATTACACTTTATATTCTTTGGTGTCACGTTAAGCCAAGATGGCGCTCTAATTGGGTAGGGAAGGAGAAAAATGACTTTTTATACAGAAAACAAAATCATTGCAAGCTAGGGCTACATTGGTGGCAGACCTCACGCATATTCAATGATAGGGACATACCTACTAATTATAGCTTTTGAAATAATTAAAACATACTGTAAAGTATTACTTTGAAAATGAAACACCCGTTGAAAAATTTGCAACTCCGTGTGTTCAAAGAAAGTATTTTGTGCATGACATCTTAGGACGTTAGCAAACCAAATGTTTACAAAACTGAGGTAATTTTCCATCTCATAAAATAGTGGACATATTTCTTATACTAGTATTAGGGTGATTGAAATACCAGGCCTTCATATGAAAATACTCTTATTTTCTTACTTTAGATCTAGAATAGAAGATAACAATGAACACAGGTTCCAAAATACGTATGACACGTGTTTTACATAACACAAAGATACATAGCATAAACCAATCAGATCTAAACGTGAGAACTCGTGATAAACTATTAGACTTATATCTTCTATTTATAGGCAAGAACACCTGTAGACATCTAAAGCTATCCGGAATTGAAAATTCTAACATGAACGGCATATACGAGAACAGAAATATGACTAATAGACATAGGCCTAGTTACTACCACATGGTCCTTGCAGGGTATTATCTGTACTACACATCTTATAGGAGGAGATGGTTGGTTGATTCTGATTTTAATGATACTGCTTATTTCGCATATTCCGCTGCTAATTGGAGACTTCATCCGGTTTCAACAAATCCTTGGGTGGTGTCGATTGCAACATGGAAACAACAACAAAATGTTGTATTAAATTGCTTAGATGGTAATATTTAATTTTATCGTATGATCTGTAAAATGAAGCCCTCTGATTGGTCAGTTCTTGTGCTGTACCAATCTGTATTGCTACTGAGATTGTCCTCATTGATCATCTCCGTCGCAATACAGAAAATATTGGTACGGAGGGGACAAACTCAGTACCAATACAGAAGATCACACGATAAAAACGTTATTGAATGATTTGAAGTGCAATACAGGATATATTCTGCTCGAGAAATTTTGTATTGGAACGAGACGAAGTAACGAACAGAGCATCTCTTATTGAATTCCCGGGAACGATGTCGGAACGCTATTTTTTAGGCCAATGACCCACTCCCCGCTTACTGTGTAAATACAGTTATTTTTCCGATATCGATCTTTTGATATGCTTCCTAACCGACGTGCAAAAGTCAATGTTTTACTATAAATCAAGAAACAATGGTCTACACGACCTGTAATAAATATGTATAAGTGAAGTTATTATCACAAAACAAATGATATTGCTGGCTTTTTAAAGTTAGTTTCCATACGTTGTGAAAAAAAATAATCGGAAAAAATCAAAATTGAGCGGAGGGGAAGTGAATGGAGGTGGAGTAATTTGTCTTTAACGTGGGACAAATTCACAGGAACTCGTGTATTTGAAAAAAATAAATTCAGTACCTAAGTAAGAAACTGGATATTACATCTTTGAAGATGAAAAATGAGGACATTTGGAGTTATATAAATAAAGTCAAGTAACATGTATCATCATGTCTTATAGATTACGACATTATATGGTGATACTATACAATATCACATTTAAACTATTCTCAATGAGAGCACTTTTAATGTCAACGCGATTTAAAACAGAAGAGCTGAATTGATTATCAACTATTTTATTTTAAAATGTGTTGTCACGGTAACTGGTTAATAAAAGAAGTTTCCAAGGGAACAGTCTTAATTCACAAATATGTATATACTACTTTCTCTCTCTATATATATAGAACGTTATAGTCCATTTGTCACCCCTATACATACTATAGTGAACCTATGAATTGTTAAAAACACGATGTTTTATGGTTAATTTATAATAACAAGGGTTTTCTGAAGTGATTTAACTGGGTTTGACAAAAAGTTAGTTTGGAGAAAAAAGTATATCGGCTAATTAGGGAGGGTTGCATTGGCTTTACATGGCGTTGACTATTGACTTAGCTTCGGGATACCACCATGTACCTGGTATGTTACCATGGTGATAGATACCAAAATTTTCCCCAACGTTTTGGCAACCCAGCTAAATCACTCCAATAAACCCTAATGATAGTATTTGCACAGAAAAACATCATGTTTTTAAATATTCATACGTTAAGAAAATGACAAATGGACTATTATAAGTGTATCAGAGGTTAGCTTGCTTTACTGAAGGGGAGGGATTAAATTGTAATTGATTTATAATACAGGGTGGGCCAAAAAACGCCACTATTTTTCAAGACACTATAACTTTTTTTTTCCAACCTACATACCCCAAACTTTGCAATTATATAGTGTCAGGGGTTCTTAGTAATAATATAATGTAACAAGTACTTCAACGTTGATAATATTTGATCTAAAAAGAGGAGTTCAATACTCCTATTCGCGATAAGAGTTCAGGTGGTAATTTACATACATATCTCCCATGATGCATCGCTTTGGAAGGGACAAATTTTCATTGGCCCACCGGACGAGTCTATACCTCTGAACGTTTCTCAGCTTCTGATCTTCCATCAGCCCTCAAGCATAGTTATATGATCCAATCTATTGAATAATCAGATAGATAATCGGAGATTCGAAGTAACATTATTGATATTTTTTCGATCGTCGATGAAGTCTGAGCAATTTGGGAAATCAGTGACGTCACTAAAATTGGACGGGATTTTCAACTACAGATTTCTTCGGATTTGGGGATTACAGTTCAAAAAGCCTTGTTATATATCTTAATTACATACATACCTATCATTTCTGCAAATGCAACTCTACATAAATGTTTAATAAAGTCCCAGTGTGGCATTGAAAATAGCACCCCTGTGTAATCCAATGGGAAAGAACCCGGATGTAGACGATGTTGTACCGTACATGAGAGCTCTTCAAACGAGAGTTAACTAAACTGAACGAAAACTAAACGTTATCGCGTATTGGTATATTGGTCCGCCACCCTATTTGATGATAGATTTTAGTTTTAGTCGCCTTGCTGATATAGCAGTATCAATGGAATGTTAGCTAAACAATTTTCAACCCGTCTTAATTGCCAGCTTTAGTTGAGCAATGTTTTAGATTGGGTGCCTTCATACAATCTCCTGGGGACCTTCCCATACCCTAAACTCACTTGGGTTTGCATCAGGGCTATTAGCTTGGCGGTCAACAGGCCATATCAGTTCAGGAACATTTTGCAAATTATGCTTGTTTCTCATGGCACACCACATGTTTAAGTGAGACGCTGGTGACATATTTTATTCAAGTAAAAGTGTACAATTCATGATCCATGGCTAGATAACAACTTCAAGTTTCATTTTGTATGCAAATTATGATTTTGTACCAAAAATTAAAAAGTTATAGCATTTTGAAAAAAAGTGGCGTTTTTTTTACCCACCCTGTATTGTATTGTATTGGTGAATTTTCCTGGACTATCGGTATCATCCTAGGCTGAAATAGAAGGTTTATTGATATCACGGGAATTCAATAGATTGAAAGCCCATGTTGATATCGAACTAATTTTGTCCATCATCTTGGATAATACCAACTCATGTGGGTGTCATCCTTATGTCGATCGATCAGTGATAAGTAAAACGTTGTAAACAAATATTTTGATAATGTTTATAGGGAATATACAGTGTAGCTATATTCTACTATCTGGTATAGTGGAGACGCCATCAATAAACGGTTTATATGAGAATAATAACAAGATCATCGCGAATATGTCTACTTACACGAAGCAGAGTAATACAGCGTACCACATATACTTTGTAATGTCTACTGGAAGTATGGGAAAATGGGTGATTGATACCGATTTTGTTTCAACGCATTATCCTGCTAGTTCAAATACCATTGATATTGGAACTGGAGTTGAAAACAACCCCACCGCTGCATCCTACTGGGTAGCACTGGGAGATGCCGAATGGGTTACCCAGGAAAATTCAAAATGGAGTTGTGTTGATGGTATGCAATAATTATTTTTCAGCAAAAAGTAGTAGAGTAGAGAACATCGTATTTTTTTATTATTAACATATTATTCATGATCAGCTAAAACTCTTATAGATCTCCATAAACTTGCGAATGTTATCTTAGAATAATGTCAGCAGACACGCTCCAAATCGAGAAAAAATTTCTTATTGATTTACTAGTATTACTGTTTTAGTATTTTTGCCATTTTTGCCATTTTCAACTATAATTTCAGATATTGATGATTGCCATCACTCTCTTTGTAAAAATAGTGGATCTTGTATAGATGGCGTGGACAGTTATAGTTGTAACTGCGTCGCTGGCTACACTGGTAGTCTTTGTGAGTCAGGTTAGTAGCTTTAACATAAATGTAGTGTTCTTATGCATTTGCAAAAATCTCGTCTTTCTCAACATTGAAAAAGATTTAAATACAATTTGACTTTTTAAACTTTATTTTTTATTTTTGAAATGCCAATGGAATTTTACTTAACTTTCTTGTGTACGGTATGACCGAAAGGGAGGGCTTAGCTCAAATAATTTTTTATCATTCACGAAACAGAGAGGATATGCTTCAAATAACGGTTCTGGCGCATTATCTGTCAAATGTGGTAATTACCGTGATGATTCCATCTCTTATTTGTTTTCGGGTTATTGCTGCTTCGACTTTTAATTAGGTGTAAGCCTCGCCAACATAACATTTTTCTTTTTTTCATTCACTACAGCAACTATCGGAGTCTCAGGCTGAATTTATGGTAACATTGTCTGATAAACAATTGACTTAGTCTCTTCTTGCTTCTGCTGTTCATATACGTGTAGTATGAAACTGACAAAGCCAGCCAACCTAACTTTTGACTATATAATGCCCATTTATGGAAACGATGTTTAAAATGTTACCCCATTGTATTGTTTTATCATAAATAGTAAAAAGCTTATATGAGCATTATCGGGACCAATTTTTGGGGTCACTGTGTATATTAAACATGAAAACAGTAATATATTTAAAAATCACATTCAGTCTGCCCTAACGTTTTAGAGTTAAATGAATGTCTGAGCTCACCTTGTCAAAACGGAGAATGTAATGATGCTTTCAACAACTATATATGTACGTGCAGAGAGGGGTTTACTGGCCGCCATTGCGAGAAAGGTATGTTAAGTTGTTGAAATCTAGTTAAAGATAGTCCCGGTCGGAATACTAACAATATGGGATTAGTTTTTAAATGCTTAATTCTATTAAACTCGTATTTATCGTGACTTAAGTTTATATAGCTTGCAGTTAACACAAAACACAGTAAGTTCTTAATAAGATAAAGAGGCTGTGACTGAAAATAATTTTTGTTGGTAATCCTATAATGGATACTGTTTCCCTTTTGATTTTTTTCTTATCAGTCATGGAAAATATTACTCGAACTTATAGTCTATTTTAATATTTCAGATATTAATGAATGTGAAAGTAATCCATGTCTAAATGAAGGAAATTGTATTGATAGAGAGAATGGATATGAATGTAATTGTGTTCCCGGATATACTGGCACTAAATGTGAAACAGGTACATATATATCGGCAATTAATATCTGATGACAGCAATAACGAAATACTTTTTGAGACTTTCATATTTTTGATATTGAGGTTGTTTGAGTTTTTTATGGAACCTAGCAAAAAAAACTAAGTATTCACGATTTGTAAGATGATCAAACCCCATATATCCCAAAACCATGATCTAACGTGAAAAGAAACATTGAGCAATACCCCCCTTCCCCCACCATTCAAGACTAGAACAACAAGGAAAATTTCATTCATAGTGAAGGCCTTGCAATACATGGTGAAGAAAAAATTAGAAATTGATAGAAAATACCCATAACATCAAAAATAGTTGTTGATACAAGTACTGATACAAAATAGAGCATTCAGTCTGAAATGATGTGAGAAATCATAGATGGACTTTTAAGATCATTTTGTCAAAACGGAATATGTAATGATAGCTCGAACATCTAAACATATCAATATTTAAAGATAAAGATAACTATAAATAAATGAAACCAGTTAGAAGGAAAGTAAAACCATATCACCCGAAATTGTTATCTATTCAAATATTTCAGATATTGATGAATGTCAAAGTGCTCCATGTTTGTATGGAGGAAGTTGTATAAATGATACTTTGAACAGCTATACATGTACGTGCAGAGAGGGGTTTACTGGCCGCCATTGCGAGGAAGGTACAGTATGTTAAGTTGTTGGAATCTGGTTAAAGGCAGTCCCGGTCAGAGTACCAACAACTCGGAATTAGATTTTAAATGCCTGTAACTATCAATCGCTTGTTTATCGCGACTGTTTCAAGCTCATCTAGCTAGCTTGCAATTTACACAAACACACCAAATGAAAGAAAATCAGCTGTGGCTGTATAGAATATATATTGTTACGCCGTTATTACGTTATTGGGACTGTTCCCCTTTTGATGTTTTGCTTATTGTAGAAATAGTAAGGAGATGAATATCTAATGATACGAATAACTATGAATAGATATGACCAGTCAGTCAGAAGGAATGCAAAATCATAAAACCCGAAATTATAATCTATTTAAACATTTCAGATATTGATGAATGCCAAAATGGTCCATGTTTACATGGAGGAAGTTGTACTGATAGAGAGAATGGATATGAATGTAATTGTGTTCCTGGATATTCTGGCACTAAATGTGAAACAGGTATGTCAAAACGGAAAATGTAATGATGCTTTGAAAAATAATGCATGGACGTGTAGAGATTTTGAGAGAGGGGTGTTTTGAATCTGGTATGAGGCAGTCCTAGGTTACAGTACACGCAACATGAAATTAGTTGTATATGGTTCTTCCTATTTAGCTCTGCGGGGTTATGTAGATTGCAGTTGACAGGAGACATACTGTCAGGAAGTTCCAAGTAAAAGGACTGTTAACAATTCTTGTTGTTATAATTTATAATCTTATTCCTCTCATTTTGTGATTTTTTTCACATGTCCCTCTCATTTTTTCAGAACTTGTCGAAGATTATGTAATTACACATACAATGCTAAAATATTATAGCTATATCTTAAATTATTTTTGAGCTAAGGTTGCCATGGTAACCTGTATTAAGGGTAGGCGGGTCAGTTAAATTATAACGTATAAAATAGATAAATTTGTTAATTAATCATTCCTCGGTACCTATTTCAAGCAGATCAAACGCTTATCCAGGCCATTGCTAACTATTCGTTGAACTGCTCCATACCCCCGTTGCCCTTGTTTGCTATTTCCACAATGGAATAGTTCTTTTTCATAAATTGCATCTCAAATTATCGTAGTGTTATTCTCTGTCCGCAAGCTCTTGCAACCAGATTGGGAATGATATTCAACAGTGAATAGCCTTCCTCAAATTTACAATACTACCTAGAGATCCTTAGAGCAGATACAAGGGGCGATCCATATATTCTGATAAAAATGCTCTCATTTTGTGATTTTTTCACATATCCCTCTCATTTTTTCAGAAAATGTAGATTATGTAATTACACATACAATGCTAAAATATTATAGCTATATCTTAAATTATCAATGAGATAAGGCTGCCATGGTAACCTGTATTAAGGGTAGGCAGGTCAATTTAATCATAACATATAAATATCAAAATAACTTGTTATTTTAATTATTTTAAAGCATGCGGAAATCATGCATTTTTTCCAAAAAGGTTTGGTATTGTTACTCGTTGTTTGTTGCTAAACAAATGTTTATATGTGCTCACTATAACATCACAACAAATCACAATAGCAATGTAGGACAGAATGGGCCAATTGACATTACATGTTATGAGACACACCAAAAGTCAAATTGTCAGATTAGGTTAATGTGGCTGATGCAGAGTGTCACATTAACGGATACATTAAGGAATACCATTAGATTTGATTTTCTTTCAAGAATAAGTAAGAGGACACTGTCAGAGACATACATGGACTCATAAAGTGTATGGGCAAGGTGTTACATCTGTATAAAGAATATCTGGTACTAAGGTAGTATTGTAAAGAGGAAAGCATGGTCACTGTTGAAGATCATCCGCAATCTGATTGCAAGAAGAGCTTGCGGACAGAGAATAACACTACGATAAATTGAGATGTTACTTATGAAAAGATAGCTATCCCACTGTATAAATTATCAAACAAGGGCAACAGGGGTATGGAACAGATAAATGAATAGTTGACAATGACTGGAAGATGCGTTTGATCTGCTTAAAATAGGTACCGAGGAATGATTAAATGAACATATTTATCTATTTTAGATGTTATAATTCAACTGACCTGCCTACCCTAAATACAGGTTACCATGGCAACCTTATTTCAAAATTAATTTAAGATACAGCTAAAATATTTTAGCATCGTATGTGTAATTACATAATCTACATGTTCTGAAAAAATGAAAGGGATATGTGAAAAAATCACAAAATGAGAGCATTTTTATCAGAATATATGGATCACCCCTTGTATAAGACCTTGTCCATACACTATACGAGTCCATGTATGTCTCCGGCACTGTCCTCTTATTTATTCTTGATAGTACATAAAATCTAATGGTACTGAATGTATCTGTTAATGTCACACTCTGCAACAGCCGCACTAACCTCATCAGATCTGTCATTTTGATTTTTGGTGTCTCTCATGACATGTAATTCCAATTTGCCCATCCTGTCATACATTGCTATTGTGAGTTGTTGTGATGCTATTGTGATCACAAATAAACATTTGTTTAGCAACAAACAACGAGAAACAATACCAAACATTTTTTTGAAAAAATGTATGATTTCCGCATGCTTTAAAATAATTAAGATAACAAGTTATTATGATGTTTTATAATTTAATATTGACCTGCCTACCCTTAATACAAGTTACAATGGTAACCCTATCTTTTAATTAATTGAAGGTGTAGCTATAATATTTGAGCATTGTATGTGTAATTACATAATCAACATTTTCTGAAAATATGAGAGGGATATGTGAAAAAATAGCAAAATGAAAGCATTTTTATCAGAATGTATGGATCGCCCCTAAAACAATAATAAGGATATAAATATTTCAATGCAATATGTATGTATGTATAATTTATTTGCCTCTTAATATAAAGAGAGTTACATTCATATTTTACATAAAATGATTAGTAAGTGAACAGCATCACAAAAATTATTAATAGTAATGATTTGATAAAAGCAGTTGTCTCTGCCTGTGCATTATATAAACGTACTGTGATATTTCTAATAGCTTCTCATGATCACAACTAATGATACCTAATATTGACTTGAGAATAAAATTGTCATCTTGGACGTTAAAGATGCTTGTTACAATGTTAATCATCGGAACCCTTACTCCAGAAAAAGCTGGACATTTGAGTAAAAAATGTTTAACAGTTTCATTTTCATTAAGCTCGCAAAGCACACATGTTTTACACACAGGTGTATCACCCTCGCGACGTCTACTGTTTAAACCGTAAGTTCCAGTTACACGGGTAGTATCTAAAGCCCCGCTATGATTTAAAAATCGCGAGCAAGTTCCCGCTGAAATCGCGAGGAATAAAAGAAGTCATGGGTTCTTTTTTGTGTTCTTGAATTGTATGATTTACAAAACGTTTTCTTTTCATTTTTCCCAATGATTACATGGTATTGAGACTAAAAAAGCAACTGCTGGAAAAAATGTTTCACGAACGGTCGTTCTGTGGTTCGTTATTTGTCAATTGAAGAGAGAAAGTATCATTTTGAATCTTTATCTATATATTTCTATACGTTATTGGTGAAGAACGATGTTGTCCTGTGGTTGAAATAACGATAGTGATATGAAATAAAGATGTACCGAGTTTCACTTCCTAAAGCTTTACAGAACATTTTATATTTAAATTTTATCATATCCCTCAAGGCCCCGCTTCTAGCAGGAGCAATTAAGCAAAGATCCCGCTGAAATCAGGAGGAGGCCCCGCTGAAAACATGAGGAGGTCCCGCTGAAAACAGGAGCAAGTGTCTCTCATAAATGGAGTGAATCCCGATTATACCCTGAAAATCTCCCACTTTCGTACCCACCTTGATCCACTATTGTACCCAGTTTGATGAATACATTATTTGTCAATACAATTCTCAATAACAGCAAACACAACTGTTAATATAGTTCATATTATGATACGTTGTTATGGAAAACTGCAGTATCATATTTCCATGCCATTTTACAGAATTAGAAAGATCATCTGAGAAATGTGATGAGTATTAGATCGGACGAAATGTTAACCTCATTTTCATAATTTGAAGTAATATAAGTTATTGAATGATTTGAAGTGCAACATAGGATATATTGTGCTCAAAAAATTGGCACGAGATGAAATCAAGTGGAAATACAGCATATCGAGAGCACAATATATCCTATGTTGCGCTTCAAATCGTTGTATAACGTTTTTTATCGTGTGATCTTACTGCATAGTCCATAGGAAATATCCTGTATTCTCTGTATTGCAACTGTCCCCTCTGTTCCATCTTTGAGTACAAGTCGATATTCAGTAAGATACACGAATAAGCGTGCGTTTAGGTCAACATAAAATGATTTAGTCAGAATAATGTTTATGAATATTATTCCTATATCAATCTCCTGTTGCTTACTTGCTTGCTCGCTTCCACCCTTCCTTGCTTCTTCGCTTCCTTCCTTGCTTCCTGGCTTCCTTCCTCGCTTCCTCACATCCTTCCTTCCTCGCTTCCTTCCTTCCATCCTTGCTACCTTCCTTCCTCGCTTCCTTCCTTCTTTGATTCCTTGCTTCATTCCTTCCTTGCTTCCTCACTTCATTCCTTCGCTTCCTCCCTTCCTAGCTTCCTTCCTTCCTCACTTCCCTCATTTTTTTATTGCTTCCTTCCATGCTTCCCTCCTCGCTTCCTTCCTTCCCCCTTCCTTGCTTCCTCGCATTCTTGCATCCTTCCTTCCTTCCTCGCTTCCTTCTTTCCATCCTTGCTTCCTTCCTTCCTTTCTTGCACCCTCCCTTCCTCGCTTCCTCCCTTCCTTGCTTCCTCACTTCCTTCCTTCTTCGCTTCCTCGCATCCTTCCTTCCTCGCTTCGTTCCTTCCTTGCTTCCTTCCTTCCTTGCTTCCTCGCTTACTTCCTTCCTTCCTTCCTTCCTTGCTTCCTCGCTTACTTCCTTCCTCGCATCCTTCCTTCCTTGCTTCCTCCTTTCCTTGCTTCCTCCCTTCCTTGCTTCCTCGCTTCCTTCCTTCCCGGCTTCCTTCCTTCCTTGCTTCTTTCCTTCCTCGCTTCATACCTTCCTTTCTTCCTCGGCTTTTTTTATCTTGCTTCCTTCCTTCCTCGCATCTTTCCTTTCTCGCTTGCTTCCCACCTTGCTTCCTCGCTTTCTTTCTTCCTCGATTCATTCCTTCCTTGCTTCCTCGCTTCTCTCTTTCATCGCTTCCTTCCTTCCCTCCTTGCGTCCTCGCTTCCTTCCTCCCTCGCCTCTTCTTTTCTTGCTTCCTTCCGTCCTCGCATCTTTCCTTCCTCGCTTCCTTCCTACCTTGCTTCCTCGCTTCCTTCCTTCCTTGCTTCCTCGCTTCCTTCCTTACTCGCATCCTTCCTTCCTTGCTTCCTCCTTTCCTTGCTTCCTCCCTTCCTTGCTTCCTCGCTTCCTTCCTTCCCGGCTTCCTTCCTTCCTTGCTTCTTTCCTTCCTCGCTTCATACCTTCCTTTCTTCCTCGGCTTTTTTTATCTTGCTTCCTTCCTTCCTCGCATCTTTCCTTTCTCGCTTGCTTCCCACCTTGCTTCCTCGCTTTCTTTCTTCCTCGATTCATTCCTTCCTTGCTTCCTCGCTTCTCTCTTTCATCGCTTCCTTCCTTCCCTCCTTGCGTCCTCGCTTCCTTCCTCCCTCGCCTCTTCTTTTCTTGCTTCCTTCCGTCCTCGCATCTTTCCTTCCTCGCTTCCTTCTTCCTTGCTTCCTCACTTCCTTCCTTCTTCGCTTCCTCGCATCCTTCCTTCCTCGCTTCGTTCCTTCCTTGCTTCCTTCCTTCCTTGCTTCCTCGCTTACTTCCTTCCTTCCTTCCTTCCTTGCTTCCTCGCTTACTTCCTTCCTCGCATCCTTCCTTCCTTGCTTCCTCCTTTCCTTGCTTCCTCCCTTCCTTGCTTCCTCGCTTCCTTCCTTCCCGACTTCCTTCCTTCCTTGCTTCTTTCCTTCCTCGCTTCATACCTTCCTTTCTTCCTCGGCTTTTTTTATCTTGCTTCCTTCCTTCCTCGCAATCTTTCCTTCCTCACTTCCTATCTTGCTTCCTCGCTTCCTTCCTTCCTCGCTTCATTCCCTCCTTGCTTCCTCGCTTCCTTCTTTCCTCGTTTCCCTCTTTCCTTTCCTTGCTTTTTTCCTTCCTCGCTCCCTTCTTTCCCCCTTCTTTGCTTCCTCGCTTCCTTCACAAATTTCTTCCTCATTTCCTTCCTTTCTTCCTTCCTTTCTTGCTTCATTCCCTCCTTCCATGCTTCCTCGCGTCCTTCCTTGCTTCCTCGCTTTCTTCCTTGCTTCCTCGCTTCCTTCTTTCCTTGCTTCCTCGCTTCCTTCCTTCGTCACTTCCCTCCTTCCTTGCTTTCATCCTTCCTCGCTTCCTTCTTTCCTCATTCCTTGCTTCCTCGCTTCTTTCGTTTTTTCCTCGCGTCCTTCCTTTCTCGCTCCATTCCTTTCTTGCATCTCTTGCTTCCATCTTTCCTCCTTCCTTGCTTCCTCGCTTCCTTCTTTCCTTGCTTCATCGCTTCCTTCCTTCCTCACTTCCCTCCTTCCTTCCTTGCTTTCTTCCTTCCTCACTTCCTCCTTTCCTCCTTCCTTGTTTCCTCGTTTCCTTTATTCTTTCCTCGTGTCCTTCATTTCTCGCTTCTTTTCTTCCTTGCTTTCTTCCCTCCTTGCTTCCTTGCATTCTCGCCTTCTTCCTTCCTTCCTTACTTACTTCCTTGCTTTTTTCCTTCCTTTCCTTGCGTCTTTGCTTGCTTCCTTCCTTCCTTGCTTCCTCGTTTCCTTCCTTCTTTGCTTCCTGGCTTCCTTTCTTCCTCGCTTCCTTACTTCCTAGCTTCCCTGCTTAATTCTTTACTTGCATCGTTCCTTCCTTGCTCCCTCGGTTCCTTCCTTCCTTTCTTCCTCAGTTGCTTCCTTGCTTACTTCCTCGCTTTCTTCCCTCCTCGCTTTCTCGTTTCCTTGCTTCCTTCCTTCCTTACTTCATTGCTTCATTGCTTCTTTCCTTCCCTCCTTCCTTCCTTTTTTCCTTCCTTGCTTACTTACATTACTCCCACCTTCACATCTTCGATTTACTTCCTCCATTCCTTCTTTACTTGCTTGCTAACTCAATTACTTAATTCTACGCATGTTTACTTCCTCACGTCCTTGCTTGCTTTCTTGATTATTTACATTCCTTCATATGGCAGTGGAAAGACAAATTTTGATGAAAACCAGCAAACGAACAAACGAACAAGGAAAGAACGCACGGATGGACAGAAGAACAGCCGAAAAAACAATGAATGAACAAACGGACGGATAGGCGACCAAAAGAACGCATGAAGGAAAGATAGAAGAAAACAATTTACAAAAGATCGAACCCACGCACGCAAGAACGTAGTTACAAACGAACGCACGAATGAACGCACGCACGAACGAACACACAAACGAACGCAAAAAGAACGAACAGACGAGCGCACGCATGTATGGACGGTTGAACGGAAGCACGCACGGACGAACGGACGACTAGACGGACGAACCCACGAACGAAAGGGCAGTCAGACGAAAGCAAGCACAAACGGACGGTCAGACGAACGCATGGGATGCACGCACGAACGAACGAATGGACGGTCGGACGAACGCTGCCACGAACGCATGATTGGGCGATGCACGCACGAACGATCAATCGGTCGGATGAACGCACGCATGAACGAACGTACCGTCGGACGAACGCACGCACGAACGAATGGTCGGTCGAATGCACGCACGAATGAACGGTCGGACAAAGAAACCAATAAAATATATGTGTCCTCAGAAGTATAATCCTTGGAATAGTTAATTATGTAGAATGTACATTTAACTCCGAAATATACAAAGTTTATTTACATATAAAAATTTGATCATGCCGCTGACAGATGGATTAGACTGCCTGAAGTTGAAGAAGAAATATTTGTGATGTTGCCATAGAATGATATGTTATGTGATTGTCATTTATACGTTATTTGCACATTCGTGTACGTTTATATAAAGAAGCTCACTATATTCATGGAATAATGATGAAGCTTTCCTCGTGATCGAAGCGGGTAGTCGTGAAATTTGCTCGTGTTTTCAGCGGGGTCTCCTCATGTTTTCAGCGGGGCCTCCTCATTTTTTCAGCGGGGCCACTGGAACACCTTTAATAATGTATTTCGACCCCCATGGCAGGTGTCATTGTCCAGTAACTTATCAATACAGACCATCTTGATCCGATATTTATTATGGAGTATGTAAATTGTATTTATTGCCTTTATTTTAACGATAAAGGTAATATATGAACAGTAAATTATGCAAACGTGCATGTTGACGCCCCTTTCCTTCATGCAAGTAAAAAATAATCATTTTTCATGTCATTTTTTGTCAAATATATCTGTTTTCAAAGTTTTGCTGGAGTATCAAAGAACGGTAATAAGTATTTTCATCCTTTTGGTTCATTTTCCAAAGTGATACAAATAAACAGGACTATGCTCGCGATTTCAGCGGGAACTTGCTCGCGATTTTTCAATCATAGCGGGGCTTTAGTAACTACCCGTGAGTTAGTAATTCTATCATAAGTTTTGTGCAGTACATATAATTGGGATTATTTCTTTCAATAAACCACCAAACATTTGGTTTCAATTCTACCAAGGAACCTGCCATCATATTGAGATTATTGTACATCAGTGCTGAGAGCACAGTGCTACGAGCATGAACATTTTTGACTCTATTGTAAATGGTCTCTCTAAATAATAACAATGAATAAAATAAATCAGTCAGAAGGAAAGTAAAACCATAAAACGCGAAATTGTAATCTATTCACACATTTCAGATATTGATGAATGCCAAAGTGGTCCATGTTTACATGGAGGAAGTTGTATTGATAGAGAGAATGGATATGAATGTAATTGTGTTCCTGGATATACTGGCACTGAATGTGAAACAGGTACATATCATTTAAAGTTAATATTAAGGTGTGCAGCGAAGTGGATGACTGGCCGTTAATGTAGCCTGCCCTTTAAAGTCTGTGAAACAGGACCACATGTTAAAAACTGTTTATATTTGGCGAGTGTAAATGAATTAAATTAGTAATACATTTCATACTCTTTAATATTAAAGTTACTTGATTAATCGGGGGAATTCTTTGAGGTCACCCTGGAGGTAATGCTGAAAACAGTAATTCCTTTCCAACCATCTCATACTTTTAGAGATAGATGAATGTCTTAGCTCACCTTGTCCAAACGGAATGTGTAATGATGCTTTAAACAGCTATGCATGTACGTGCAGAGATGGGTTTACTGGCCGTAACTGCGAAGATGGTATGTGAATTAAGTTATGATTCTAGTCACAGTGCCCAGACAGAGTACAAACAAACATTTTTTTATATGATTGTTTTCGATAAGCTCTTATTAAGGAGACTTTTCATGTAGCTTGCAATTGATATTACACTCGGATAGTTCTAAATAAAAGAAAAAACTGTGACTGTCTGTAACAATCTGTAAACGATTCATATTAGTATAATGGGAATTGTTGCATTTTCATGTTTTCCTTATTGTGAACAACTAAGAGAAGGATCGTGAGTATCTTAAGACAAACATATAGCTATGAACGATTGAAACAAGCCAGACGGAAAGTAAAACCAAAACACCCGAAACCATATTCGTTCACTCGGCTCCCGTCGGTCGAGCGCAGTGAAGACCGAGCGTGCGAAGATGACCCGAATCTATAATCTATTAAAACATTTCAGATATTGACGAATGCCAAAGTGATCCATGTTTAAATGGAGGAAATTGTACTGATAGAGTGAATGGGTTTACATGCGATTGCATTCCTGGATTTACTGGTACTAAATGTGAAACAGGTAGATATTGAAAGTTGATATTCTGGCATGCAGCGACGTGCATGGATGCCCTCCCAACCATGTCTAAGGAAAATGCCCTTGAAGTCCATATATCAAAGAATGTTTCTATTTGGCGACTTTCATGTGAATTATCTTATAGTCAGAAATTCATACTTCTCAATATTGAGAACCAAATACTTACTTCCAATGATTTTCCCATAGGCTAAGGGCGATAGAAATCATTTTTAAATAACGATGATATGGTTATCGATCTGTGTTTATCTATGTTTCTCTTTGTTGGTGTTGCCATCTTTATATCGGCCTAGAACCTATGGATTTTCCAAAGAAAATCATCAATTGCAATGAAAATGGCGTATGATTCCTTTTTACAGATGTAGACGAATGTGCAGGCAATCCTTGTCTAAATAGTGCAGTATGTATTGATGCTGTAAACAAATACACATGTGCATGTAACTCTTCACAAAATTCTCGAAAAAGAGACCCTTGTCCTATTGGTTTCAGTGGGCAAAAGTGTGACAAACGTGAGTTTGTAAGAATATGTCTGATAAGTATGTAATAAAAGTACCAAAAATGGAAAGAATAATGGATGACAATTGTATAATATTGTTTTCCTAGTATTAAAGAGATTGACAACGCATTATATTTTTATTACTTATAAAGCGTGTGTACTACGTCATCATTTGTTGCGCAGCTCTATCCATTAATAAAAACACAGTCGCTTATAATCACATTATTTAATGTTACAGGTGGAAGTTTGTACACGGGATTGATCAAAATAAATGGGACTTTTGACAATAGTTTGACAAACAAATCCTCGAAGGAGTATCTCGACCTTATTGATAAGTTCGTTTGTGCGGTATGTTATGATCATTCTAGTTCAAAGCCATTTCAGGTTTAAGAACATACAGTTATATTGTTGAAACAACACCTTTACAAAAATAGTACATTATTCTTGTATAACATGATGGTGTTGCGTATTGCTGTTTTGTTAAACGGGCTTTATCCTTTGTTTATTTATGGAACAGAAGACGAAACGATTATTTCACTATCTATGTTTTTTCGTTCAACCCCTGATATTTACAGAAAATAAGTTTTGTACCAGTGACTAATGAAGGTAACGTCCTATAATTGTTCAACACCGGTGTCAGTTTTAGATAAACATTAAGCTTCTCTAAGAGTGGTTCAGCTGATTTTAAATTACCACGCGCGTCATTGTTTTATGAGATTGACTTCATAGGTTGGCCAGGGATATGAACGTGGAACCCTCGGTGATAAATACATTCCGTCCATTATTGTGAAAATAATAAGTTACGGGTCCATTGCGGTTGGATACTATATTTCCTTGGCCCCATTGTCAACTAAGGATGATAACCCGCCATCTCCAGATGCGTCTTCGTTTGACCTTGAAGCCGCCAACCAATACGGAGAGCTCAATCTTGTGTCTTCAGATCCTCTAGAAGGTAATGTTAAAACCCATTGGTTCAATGAGACCATGAGACACGAGTATGTCATTAACATTTTAATACACATTTTCTGTACTTGAATATTAATCTCCGGGTATATGAAATGTTGATTATACCAATATTAAAAACTGACGGATGGCAGATACAGTGAATCGCTTTTTCTCAGAAATAGGACAGCCGAATTCATTTGAAAATTATCCAAAGACAATCTAAGGGTATTATTTAGAAGTCAGGGAATCACTAAGAATTAGTAACTATGAAAGAGATAGGTCACACACATGCGTTACAAAATGGGGCAACCCAAGCCAATCGGAAGGCCACTCTAGAATTCATCTAGACGGATACGTGATCTCAACAAAACTCTGACTGTAACCTAATGGAATACTAATATGCAAAATATAGAGACATTTTACTTGGGAGTGAGGGACAAATTGACAGTGCAGGATGATGATGTCATTTAATTCATTTTCATCTTACATCTTATATTTATTATAGACTTAGACGAGTGTTCAATGCCTACCAACAATGATTGCCACGTGAATGCCACGTGTTCGAACACAATTGGCTCATACACGTGCAAGTGCAAAGATGGCTTTAATGACATCAATTCTGCACGTCCAGGAAGAAATTGTACACTAGGTTTGTTGATTTATGTTATGTAGAGTCATATTACACACTACAATACACAGTCTTTGTAAAAATAAAATACATTTTAGGACTGCATTTATCACATTGAAAGTTGAAAAAGTTTAGATTCGTGCAAAAAAATGGTTTTATGCAAAATATAGAGACATTTTTCTTGGGAGTGAGGGACAAATTGACAGTGCAAGATAATTATGTCATTTAATTCATTTTCATCTTACATCTTATATTTATTATAGACTTAGACGAGTGTTTAATGCCTACCAACAATGATTGCCACGTGAATGCCACGTGTTCGAACACAATTGGCTCATACACGTGCAAGTGCGAAGATGGCTTTAATGACATCAATTCTGCACGTCCAGGAAGAAACTGCAAACTAGGTTTGTTGTTATGTAGAGTCACATTTCACACTACAATACACAGTCTTTGTAAAAACATTTTAGTACTGCATTTATCACATTAAAAGTTGAAAAAGTTTAGATTCGTGCAAAAATTGGATTTTTACAAAAGAAGGTTTTGCTTACTGTGGCAATCAAAATATATAAATGTACCATTTTATTTGCTGTAAAGATACATTGCTGTTCACTCATAGAATTTTTTTTCAGTTTCGAGCGCTGGTCTACTTTGGTGGCACAAATTGCTGATCGCGCTTTGTGCAGCGTTGCTATTAGTGATAATAATTATTACGTCGATCTGTTGCTGTTGCTGTCGAAAGGACAGAAAACAAGACAGTAGAGAAATGGGTCATTTTGATGCACATGGTCGATATTAAGACACACAATGATGAAGTTGAGATTGTTGGACCGCACCAATTGCCTGACTTAACAATTTATCAATTACCAATCGATGAAACATTGTGTATGTGTATATAAGATTTAAGCAATTATGATAGACGATGTAGTCGTCTCTGTGTATTCAGGAGACTTCCATTATGATATGCTTTGCCTGACTTGACACAATTTATCAATTTCATGTATTACCGATCAATGAAACATTGTGTCTGTGTATATAAGATCCAAGCAATTATGAAAGACGATGCAGTCGTCTCTGTGTATTCAGGAGACTTCCATTATGATATACTATGCCTGACTTGACAATTTATCAATTTCATGTATTACCAATCGATGAAACATTGTGTCTCTGTATATAGGATTTAAGCAATTATGATAGACGATGCAGTCGTCTCTGTGTATGCAGGAGACATCCTTTATAATATATTTTGCGATGTATAAGTCTTAAAAGTATCACTGATTATTGCAACTACATGTATGAAAGACAGTATGATGTACAGTAAAAACCTTTCTTAGTGAACAAGTCTCTCTACTGAACATATATCTCTAGTGGACACCCTTTATCTGTACAGCTACTGACTGTATAAATTACCCTCTATGTAGTGAACACTAGCCTTGCCGAAGTCGGTATTTTTTACTTACCTGATCTTGAATTATTATACCTAGAAATCAATATAAGTAAAAGAGACCGACTTGGGCAAAGATAAGCTTGTATTCGCGAATGCAACTAACGTCTGTCGGCTACCGGACTGACCTACTATTTTATGGGTAACTCATTTAAATATGACTAGTACCATATTTTTAATGAGTTGGTCATAAAATACAAGGTTAATCCGGCAGCCGAAGGCGTTAGTTGCATTTGCAAATACAAGGTCAGTGAACACCTGCCAACAATGAATGTTTTTTTCTCGTCAAAAAACGTTCAATATACACATATTTAATACTGTATTAGCTTGTATTCGCGAATGCAACTAACGCCTGTCGGCTACCGGATTAACCTACTATTTTATGGGTAACTCATTTAACTATGAATAGTATCTGCCACTATTCCATTCATATTTAATGAGTTGGTCATAAAACAGGAGGTTAATCCGGTAGCAGACAGGCGTTAGTTGCATTCGCGAATACAATCTTAGCTCGTATTCGCGAATGCAACTAACGCCTGTCGGCTACCGGATTAAACTACTATTTTATGGGTAACTAATTTAAATATGAATAGGATCTGCCACTATTCCATTCATATTTTCACTCTGCCAGCGCATCGTGAAATACAGACCTTCTCGGGAAGAATATTTTTGTATTCCACTCGAATCATCGAATAACTAATAGTACTCAAGATTCAATCGCTAAAAGTAAACAATATTTTGAATACGAATTAGTGTATGCAAGATTCATACGCTAAATATAATTGATATGATGTATGATGCATACGTCTTTGTGTATTCATGATTCATGCGCTTAATGTAGGAAATATGCTGCATACGTCTTTGTGTATTCAAGATTCATGCGCTTAATGTAGGAAATATGCTGCATACGTCTTTGTGTATTCAAGATTCATGCGCTTAATGTAGGAAATATGCTGCATACGTCTTTGTGTATTCATGATTCATGCGCTTAATGTAGGAAATATGCTGCATACGTCTTTGTGTATTCAAGATTCATGAGCTTAATGTAGGAAATATGATGCATACGTGTCTTTGTGTATTCAAGATTCAAGCGCTTAATGTAGGAAATATGATGCATACGTCTTTGTGTATTCAAGATTCATGCGCTTAATGTAGGAAATATGCTGCATACGTCTTTGTGTATTCAAGATTCATGCGCTTAATGTAGGAAATATGATGCATACGTCTTTGTGCATTCAAGATTCATGAGCTTAATGTAGGAAATATGCTGCATACGTCTTTGTGTATTCATGATTCATGCGCTTAATGTAGGAAATATGCTGCATACGTCTTTGTGTATTCAAGATTCATGAGCTTAATGTAGGAAATATGATGCATACGTCTTTGTGTATTCAAGATTCAAGCGCTTAATGTAGGAAATATGATGCATACGTCTTTGTGTATTCAAGATTCATGCGCTTAATGTAGGAAATATGCTGCATACGTCTTTGTGTATTCAAGATTCATCCGCTTAATGTAGGAAATATGCTGCATACGTCTTTGTGTATTCAAGATTCATGCGCTTAATGTAGGAAATATGCTGCATACGTCTTTGTGTATTCAAGATTCATGAGCTTAATGTAGGAAATATGATGCATACGTCTTTGTGTATTCAAGATTCAAGCGCTTAATGTAGGAAATATGATGCATACGTCTTTGTGTATTCAAGATTCATGAGCTTAATGTAGGAAATATGATGCATACGTCTTTGTGTATTCAAGATTCAAGCGCTTAATGTAGGAAATATGATGCATACGTCTTTGTGTATTCAAGATTCAAGCGCTTAATGTAGGAAATATGCTGCATACGTCTTTGTGTATTCAAGATTCATGCGCTTAATGTAGGAAATATGATGCATACGTCTTTGTGTATTCAAGATTCATGAGCTTAATGTAGGAAATATGATGCATACGTCTTTGTGTATTCAAGATTCATGCGCTTAATGTAGGAAATATGCTGCATACGTCTTTGTGTATTCAAGATTCATGAGCTTAATGTAGGAAATATGATGCATACGTCTTTGTGTATTCAAGATTCAAGCGCTTAATGTAGGAAATATGATGCATACGTCTTTGTGTATTCAAGATTCATGAGCTTAATGTAGGAAATATGATGCATACGTCTTTGTGTATTCAAGATTCAAGCGCTTAATGTAGGAAATATGCTGCATACGTCTTTGTGTATTCAAGATTCAAGCGCTAATGCAGGCAATATGATGTATACGTCTCGGTGTTTTCAAGTCTCATGTGCTAAATACAGATACAGTAATTTGATACTAGTATGCTTCAATATATTCAAGATTCGTGCACTTAGAAACTAAGATGTTTAAGTCTAAGTGAATTCAAGATTCACAAGCTTATGATAAACAATAATATAGATATATATTTTTATATCAATTTTAATCTTAGTCTTCTGTTGCTTTACTTAATACCAAATTAATTTTTTTTAGCAAATATAACTTTTTTAAATCGTTTATACAGTGCATGCTTTTCAATATTTATACAAAAAAAATCTGTTAGTATTTACAACAGGTTGTGTAGACGTCATCTGCTTGAATTATAGCAAGCTGGTGATCGTTGTACCCTTTTGAATATATCCTTCATCTTAGAAGCTTATCAATTCCAAAAATGACAAAACCCCAACAAATTTAACCACACTGTGTATCTTTTCATTTGGCGATTTATTCGTAAACTTTCCCATGAAAATTGTTCCAGTCAGTGACATTAAATTTTCTAGCAAAAATCGCCTTCTCCCTTTCACTCATTTTGTACAATTATACCGCCATGCTATTCTCAACTGTAGATATTACGACATATTGTTTGGCATTGTCCCTCGGAATAAAAGCCATATCATATCCCTCCGAGTAAATAACCTTAACTTGTATTGAAATGTGAACGTGGAAAATGCAGAAAGGATTGAGCCAATGGAAACATGTAATGGTTTAATGAGGGGCTAGCAAAGTGAAGTACATCTTATTTCGAGATTCTTAGATGTCCAGCGTTCGATCATATTGGCGGTTTTTACCAGTTGTATCGACGTAGTAATTGTACACCTGTTTAGTCACTGGAAAATGAAAAATAAAAATACGACATAATTTTATATATTCTTATATGAAGTGAGTCGGCTATACTGGGTTTCTCTTCACATGGTTCAGTGTGTATTTGAAAGCACATGAACATTAATAGGACTTAGAAAACCAGTCAAGGATGTAATAGAGGTTATATTCCGAGTGACAATATGATATTTCCCGAGGACCCGAAGGCCCAGAGGGAAATATCATATTGTCACGAAGAATAAACCAATATCTAATCCCGACCAGTGAATAAGCTTTTTATCTGACTTCTGTATGAAACAGACTAAACAGTATATACACTCCCCTCCATAAGTTTGGCAACCTTAGCTCCCCCATTGAACTACGTGTTAAAGCCTCTTTACCTTTGAATTTTGATCGAAATCGAAAATTGATGATAAATTTGAGGACTTTTTGAAAATCGAAATTCCCATGTTAACCAATGGGAAATGGTAGGTTTGCTGCAAGTCATATGACAGAATAACCATCCATCCGTGTCCTTGCAAAAATACGAGTTAGGCAGGCAATTGAATTTGCTAAATTCATTTCACAAAAAATTGATATGTTTCTTCAGGTTCAACAGAGTTATAGAACTTTAAAGCCAAAATTGTTTTTCAAAAAACCTCTCCCACTGAAATAACAAAGGAGGCGAAAAATTATTTTCAAAAATGACTTTGAAGCGTTGTAACTTTGGTATTCATCAAATAAACTAAACACTTAGTGTACAAAAAAGTTAGCCAATTAGATTTTTTATATAAAAATATTTTTTGCTGAATCTTTTACTGAAAAGATATCCTGATTTCCGATTCCCTCCATTTCCCATTGGATTACATGGCAATGACGATTTTCAAAAATTCATCAAATTTATCATCAATTTTCGACCTATTGTAATTGAGGAAAAAATTGAGAAAATTTGGAGGTATTGAAATTAAAGTCAAGTTACGTTTCCATCAATATTATAACTTATTGCATCGCCGGTTAAGTAAATAAAAATTCAAACGCAAAGAGGCTTTAACACGTAGTTCAATTGGGGAGCTAAAGTTGCCAAACTTATGGAGGGGAGTGTATTTCGTCAACAAAATATGACTTAACTTTATTACATTTTTAAAATGTTAAAACTCAAAAAATGTAACTGTATAACATACATGTAAGCACATATTTTCAAAGACAATAGAGGGATTTTGCAATAACATTAAATCTGCTATAAGTGAGTTGCAAAATCTCTCTAATAATATATACCTGGGTCGTAAGCTTTTCCTTGAAATGGCTGCCTCTCAGGTATCACCATGCTTTGAGCTACAGAAACTCTGCTTCCAGTTTCGCCATTTTGCATTGTGTTTGACCTTGAATCAGAGTACATATCATAGCCGGCTGTAGCGCGCGAACTCGTTTCAGATTGTTCTTCGATGGCAGTCATTCTACCACTTCCGTTTGGTGAAATGACCGGAAGTGAATGCTGACTTTGATATGACCTTGACGTTTCCCGAGAGTGAGGCTTCTGTATTCCGATTGGTGGAAGAATATTATCGATATCTTCCTCGATTTGTTGCTGCTCAAGAGATTGTCCAGTTTTAGCACGTGTTTGCCTAGCAGCGGTGGATAAAGGCTCAATTTCACCAGTCTTTTGTTTTGTTTCGCTTCTGTATGAAGCTGGTTGGGTCTGACCTCTTGTGTTTCCATGACGGGTGTTTCTTGTTCCTGAAAACACAACAGGTCTTTACTATTTACTTTTGCATTTATTAGTGATCTGGGTACTATTGTCAACTATTCTTTACATTCATGGGTTTGGTGAGAGGGTACCCTATGTGTTTCTTTAATTAAGAAATAATCAGGTTGTTCTGCAAATTGTTAAGTGAAGCAAGGACTCGCCTATTTCCACTTGTCAATTAAATGGTATTTAAAGTTGAAACTTGGAGCAAATATGTATTGCATCGTACTCAACATGCAGCGTCCGAGTTGATTAGCCAGGCAACGTTGTGGTATACCCGGCGTACATTAACAAACTCCAAAAATGAATGCAAACATCTAACATTTGACTTACTCGATTGTGCAGTGTTGACGATTGTACCATGGTCTTCATCATATTCCCCATATTCATTTTCTTCATGTTCTTCGTCCTCATATTCATATTCTTCGTCGTCAGGATTCCCGATGTAGTTTACTCTCCTTTCTCCCTTTACCGGGAAACTTAGCTCGGTCGGAGGATATCCTAGTATTGTTCTTTTCCTCGGTGGTCTCTCTAAAACAAGAAGGCACAAAGGGGTACACATGAGCTACATAAAACTATGATCGACCGTTGTCATCATTTCGAAAGGGGTACACTTGAGCTATGTTCGACGTCGTCATTATTTCGAAATCATGTTTGAGTAACAATGATAATACCATCAGGTTGCCTGAAAAGTATAACGTAACAAATAAATGTAGTCCATGAATCCATGAAAAGAGTACACAAGAGCTACATTAAACTATGTTCGACTTTGTCATCATTTCAGGTTGCCTAAAAAGTATAACGTAACACAAAAATGTAGTCAATGAATCCATGAATAAAAAAGTTGATACGCTAACTAACATTGAGAGAGTTGCTTGCAATTTGGCACAAGGGATTTGAATTTATACCTGTCCTGATTTCCTGAGTTTCAAATATCACTATCAGCAGAGTTAAAATCTATGAATTGATATTTGCACAAATCTTAATGTAACCAATGCATATATCAATCGGGCGTTTGCTCTACTGGACTCTAATGGCGGCGGCCTATGAATCTTCAAACCATTTTCGAACAACTTGATCCGGCATCATACCAGGATAAAACGTGTTTTTTCTTATAAAGTCACTGTCGTAGCCGCAATATGAATATCATGTGACCCCATACAAGCAAGCCATTTACAAGGAAATCCAAGCAGATCCCTTTATTTTACTCCTTATTATGAAGAGAATAGAGGAATGCATTTTTGTGTAAAGTAGCTACATTGTTATAGTGGTGAATAAAATTTACAATTTCTTGCTATATCATTTTCGTTATGATCGGTGAACTTGGATGCATATGCAAATTTGGGGGCGTTTTCCTATATATTCGTCTGATAAGAAAATATCCTGCTTTAGCAATAAGCCAGCAACAATGGGGTAACAGATTCTTGCAGTTTGCATTGAGTATACATTGTTAACATTTGAAATATATTTAAAATATGGAGCACTTTAAATTTAAATTGTATTTTGCCTCACCTGGGAATTTCTTTTTCCTCACTGATTGAGCTACAGCGTCATCCCAGTTATCTTGAAATCGTATTGCACCTTTATGTTGATATCCTGTCAAATTATTGTGTTCACATCTTAGCTGATCATAAACCATCGAGTGTCCCCCTGGTCGGGACAATCTTGGAAAACAATCACACCCGTTGTAATCCAGGGGTTCAACTATTGCAGCTCGTTCGGTGTCCTCTTCGTTATCTCCATCATAGCCATACTCACCGAAATCTTCTTCTTCGTTATAATACTCGCCCTCATACTCCTCCTCTTCTTCTTCCTCTTCTTCTTGACTAGTCTGACCTTGAGTTTTTGTTCTATTGGTACCTGTATGATTTGACTGTCTTTGACTGGGACGCGATCCAACCTTTGTTCCCGTGTTTGGGGCCTGTGTCCTTGTGGTTCTGGGAACCTGATTCGTTCCAGTTGCAACTTTGCTTCCAGTTGGTATCTGAGATACTGTTCTTGGCATATGTGATACCGTTTTCGGTGCTTGGGATTGCGTTCTCAAGGTATTCAGTCTGCTACCGGGTGGAACTTGGGAAGCACCGGGGACTTGGGATCCCCCTTTCGATGCCTGGTAGCCCGAAGGGAGGGGCTTATTTCCCGTCTCCACCCTTTTAGATTGAGAGTCAATTCTCGGCTGAGATGCATTGCGAGCGGATGGTGATCCTAATGTTTGTTGAGCCGTCCTTGGAATTTGTGATACAGCCGTTCTTGGAATATTTGATGCAGTCTGCGGAACAGGGGTTCCCAATTGTGGCGTTTGTCTGAGAGCTTGTGAAGACTTCTGTGCCGTATTTGGAACATGTGATCCCGTCCTAGATGGTGCCAGTTTGGCAGATGGCGTTGGTTTGGGAGTCTGTGACTTTTGTGCCGAATTCGGAATTTGCGATAATGTTCTAGATGGTGTCAGTTGGGCATCTTTAGGCACTTCCTGTTGTGGTGTTAACTGTGCCGTCTTTGGTACTTCTAAACTAGCTCTTGAGGGTGCCTGTTGAGCTGTTTTGGGAATGTCTTGTTGTTGTGGTGACCTTCGTATGCTGTTTGCAGTTTTGGGGGATTCAATTTTGTTACTTGCTGGTTTACTCACTGGCCTTGAAGGGCTTCCCCTAACCGAACTTGGCCCATTATTTGTTTCCATTGTTAATATTTGTATGCTCAGTTCAATATAGTATTTACTCAAAGCTTTGGCACACAACCATATTACATCATTACAAACTAGGTATTTCAGTTTTTGTTTCCTTTTCTTTCATTTTGCAAAATTCCGTCGTATGAAACGTTATGTCCCCATTTCAAGAAATAAGAATCATCAGTTCTTTAATCTTTACGATTTTCAGGTCTGACCAGTATACATACTTAAGTACAAAAAGATATGAGAATAATTCTATTTCAATTTATGTTTATATTGCTATGTATGAAGATTATAGGTTTAACAATAAGATCAATTGCGAAACTTAAATTCCTTATAAATCTTTTCAATGTACACTTTAGCGAGAACAAATTGTAAACGGATTAAATGAGAAATCTAGGATTAATCCCAATTTTGATAAATCCCATTCGTTGTCAATGCGAAATATATTAAATGCGATCACCTTTGAAGGTTTTGTAGTTTTTGTTAAAGATGCTATCTTCAATGTGGTTAATGATTTTAGTTGCGTTTGGGTCCCATATGCGAGTAGCTGCAAAGATTTCAACTACAAGTCTAGTTATCTCGCCATTTCTTTCCTCATTCTCGACCATATTAGAGATGTTTCATGCTGTAAGCTAACATATAAAATCGAAACGAAAACCTGTACGTATCAATCGCCCATATACGAATGCATGTAGCGTTCTCGCATAATAATTAGCCGTTCAGCTCCAGTGCTTGTTTAGACTACACCATAGCGTGATATGATACTATACACAGGGGGATATGCCGAGTACTAAATTAATACAAAATTAGTACTAAATTAGCACTCGTGGCATGAGTACTCATGAGTGCACTTTTGCCAGAGTGCTAATTTATTACTACTTGAGTACTATTTTAGTACTCGGCATATCTCCCTGTGTAGTATCTATAGTATGCCATTGATGTAGTTCTATAGCTGGATTTAAAGGAAATAAGGTAATAAGGAAACATAATCTGAGTGTGCTGCACTAAAAGAACACAAAATGCATTTCCCATTGGATCCCCTCGTGTTGGATTATGGATTTTTTTAAAAGTTGGGAGAGGATGGTGAAAATGATGAAAGTATTTCGAAAAAAAGCTTGTTAAAGGGTGGATTGAACAAGACTTATGAGATATCCAATCCAATTGATCTTGATATCATTCTTTGAACTTTTCTTGAAGATTATACATTGGCCATGGCCTTTCATACACAGGGAGATATGCCGAGTACTAAAATAGTAAAAAGTGCACCCATGAGTACTCATGCCACGAGTGCTAATTTAGTACCAATTTTGTACTAATTTAGTACTCGGCATATCTCCCTGTGTATGCATCTATTTTTTACAGCCAGAAACAACTTGCAAAAAATTATCAACTGTCAAAAATCTGTTGCGCTAACTTCCGTAACTCTTTGAGACATATTGAGTGTAGCTGTGACTGCGATATGGAGGGGAAGAATTGGTATCGATACGGTGACTCTTTGGACATGATTGCAGCTGTGACTGCAATAAAGAGGGGAAGGAATGGTATCGACATGGTGAACTTAATTGAACACAATTTCTCTTGAACCAGGCATCAAATAATTACGAAAAAATTACACATTGTCAATTCAATGGTTATCTTTTTAGCGGTAATACTTTAATTGGAAAATATAAATCTACTTTCTTATATATTGCTTTAATTAGAAAATAATTCAAACGCGTCTTTTGTTCTTGGTGTCATGTGTTTGAAATACAATGAAACGTCAATCCGAACCTTGTTGGAACAATACGACATAAACACAACGTTTTTAGGTCACTCAATATTGTAATTGTATAAAGGAGAACGTACCTGTATGTTTCATTTAAAATAAGTATCTTGTTAATGAAATAAATTAAAGGTATACTTTAATTTTATCTATTTTCGTGTTTTTTTATTTCGATTTTTAGATACCTTTTTTAATGAACAAAAGTTTCCTTTGTATAACTACGATATTTTGAGATACATGGTGTATATGCAATTTTGTTCCAACAAGGTTCGGATAGATACTTTATTTCATTCTCAAGAATTGGTTGAAATGAACATAAACAATTGCACTAAAAAGAAAGATTGCTTGCTAAAACAATTGAATAATAAGTGTATGAATAATTTTCACGTTAAATTAATGTCAATCGGTGACCATTACATAAATGTTGTGTCTTTTTGCAGAATGTTTTCAATAATTGGTTCAAGAGAAAAAACATGTTAAAATGAGTTTAACATATTGCTACCAATCCTTTGGGAATTTTCATTTTCTGATTTGTGATCGCTCAAACCCCTGGTGTCAATTTTAGCCTCTAAGTCCACAGGAAAAGAAAATGTTTTCAATTAGATGGTGCCATACTGTCAGAAAATGATTTATCCTTAACATGATAATATGATACATGGCATATGGTTTAACACATAAAATTATAAAATATTCTGATAAATTATTGTGACATAGAGACGCACGTCTGAAGAACGAAATACAAGAGAAGCCATGTTTAGCATCAGGAGACAAGTTTTCAAAACACCTTAATACACTCTATCAATAAAGCTATACGCGATATACGTTTAATTTCGTTCAGTTTAGCTATCTCCCGTTTGAAGAGCTCTCATGTATGGTACAACTTCGTCTACATCCGGGTTCTTTCCCATTGGAATACACCTGTATAATCCTGTCATCCTGTGACTATATTTGTTTCTGCCAAGGTTTAAAACTAACAACATGTAGACTGATAAAAACACCAAACGACCACTTATTAGTTCCCCTTATTATATCTCAGAAGCTTAAATGTGTACTTTGCTTAGATTTATTGCAAGAGTTTTCATGCATTTCACCGGGTGCCATTTTGGATAACAGAATATCAGTAAAAAAAGCTTTAATCAGGTTACATAATGCTATCCTTTATGCTTCGATTTTTCTGCAAATAAAGGTACAATAGGTTGACATAGCAACTATAGCTGAAGTCATTGGTTTCCGTTAGCCTAGTGGTGATTCAAAGCTTTTAACGATTGTCTATGTTTCAGCGAGTTTGAGCTCAGAAAACTGAACGACACCAATGTAGATGTAACGGGATTTAAGAAACCCCGCGAGCGATTGATAAATAGGTAAGTAAAATTATATTTGCATGTGCCTATATATATTAATGACAATTTAAACTTTACATAATATTGTCAGTGGGTACTAAAACATCATTGAAAGTATGGAGATTATGATATCAAACACCCACGCCATATATCGAATAGGAAATTGAAACAAACGTATTCTAGTCTAGCAAGAATATCGTATTAAAATATACACGTCTCATTGAGACTTGGAGGGGGGAAATTACGAACTCTATCCAAAGGAAGGATATACACGTAGTCTTTCGAGTAGCAGCTGTATCGGATTATTGCAGTTTAGAAATAAAACGACGCAATTACGATTCAACATTACAATCACAAGAACGTTCATTTTACGTAAAATGGGGCGAGGTTTGTTCATCGTTGCTTATGTCAATTCCCAGTTACGTAAAGATGTTCCCCCAGTTTTATTTATCAACTCTGTTGTCTTCTGAACTATTTGTTCGTAAACAATTACATTTTCTACGACAATAATGTTCATAGGTTCTTTGTTTGAACAAAAAGCAATACCGCATTTGTATACTGAGGATATGTTCGTCCATTTTGTCAAGAATTCATCGAAGCAAGATATTGTTTCAAGTGTACCACCTTTTGGCCCAGCCTGTACAGCAAATAAAAATTTTCGAGTTTTGATTTTCACGTCTTACCATCGTATGACCGACCGTAACGTACTTAGAAAGTTAAAAAATCCAAGAAATTGCTGTTTTTATTACACATGAAATTGAAAAAATCCCTACCGATTAATCAGTTAAAGTACAAAAATGTAAGTTCCCTTTGCCAATTTAATCGGTGCGACAGTATTTTTCAGCTACTAGTTTTCAGCTACTTGTAAACGCTGAACTGTAGTTTGATCATAAACGCTGAAGCTTGACGGTTATTTAATCAAGAAAGCTCACTGGCAGACCTGGGGGGACTGGGTGAGCCCAGAAATAAAAGATTGGCCAAAAAAAGGCCTTAAGGCCCTCCAAAAAGGGGGCCTTTTAGGTCATTACTGGGCATTTTAGGCCTTATTTTTAATTTTGGGCCAAATTTTGAAGGAAATGGGCCTCAAAATTTCAAAGTATGGGCCCATTTTTTGTTTTATGGGCCGGGTCAAAAATTTTGTTTTCTCGCAAGCGCCGAAGTTTTTTCTTAGACCTGAAATTTGCCCCCCCACTTTTGGTTCCCAGATCCGCCCAGAAGCTATAGACTACTATTTATCATACCTTTTCGTATCGATTTTCTATTCGAGCTTTTAAAACTCTCTATTATTTAAATACGTAGACGAAATGTGTCCATGAAGGAAATGTAATGGATCGTATTTTTCGTATGGAGACTACCCAATGCTATTTGGGATCAAAAAGTTGTTAAGCGCTTTTAGTCTGGCAGAAACTTCAAAGCTAATCGTTTTCTTCGGATTACAATGTTTTTTTTAACTTATCAGCATGAATATAGGGTTGGGACCTCAAAACCATTGGATGCCGGAGCGGCACCCTTGGGCAACTCTTTCAAAACATTTCTTATACCCCCCTGATAAAATATACAGGGGGTACTATAAGACACCCTCATATCTCAGACACTAATAAATATATTAACTTGAAATTTTCAGGAATTGGTTTTAGTATGATGTTTGACACATGTGACAAAAATCAAGAAAAAATCTTAATCCGTTGCTATAGCAACAGAAATATACACTATTTGTTACCGTAGAAATGCATTATTTTGCTGATTTTCATAATTTTAACCATATTCTTGATTCTTAAAGCATCTGAAGTATATACGTATCTGATATATACATGATTAGAAGTAAAGATGAAATAATCCATCATATGGTTTATGTATTATATTTAACATTTCAGTTGCTATGGTAACATCACTTAATAATCAGGTTTTTACATTTCACTTTCTTTAAAAAGGTGGTCCAAAATAACACTTCTTGAAAAGGTTATGCTCCCTAGGTAAAAATGTGCTGCTTTAGAGATAAATAGTCACATGAATTTGAAAAAAAAATTATAATTTAATTTTACCCCACCTCGACAGCCACCAAATCTGGCAAAATAGATTAATTTTCAAGGTTCAAATATAAAATGCCCCAGTGGCCCCCAGAAGCTATACCATGGACCCAAGTGGCCCCAGAAGCTATACAGGGGCCCCCAGTGGCCCCAAGATGCTATAAGGTGGCCCCCAGAAGCTATACAGGGACCCCTAGTAGCCCCCAGAAGCTATACAGGGTCTCCAAATGGCCCCTCTAGAAGCTATATGGTGACTTCCAGAAGCTATACAGGGCCCCCCAGTAGCCCCCAGAATCTATACAGTGGCCCCTAGTGCCCCCTTAAAGCTATACGGTGGCCCCCGGAAGCATATCCAGCGGCCCATAGTAGCCCCCAGAAGCTATATGGTGGTCCCCAGTGGCTCAAAGAAGCTTTACAGTGGCCCCCAAAAGCTATACAGGGGCCCCTAGTGGCCCCAAGAAGCTATATGGTGGCCCCAGTAGCCACCAGAAGCTATAGGATGGCATCCAGTGGCCCCCAGAAGCTATATGGTAGCCCCCAGAAGCTGTACGGTGGCCCCAAATATACAGGGGCCCCCAGAAGCTATACGATGGCTCTCAAAATCTATATGGTGGCCCCCCAGTATCCCCAAGAAGCTAAACAGGAGCCCCCAGAAGCTATACAGGGACCCCTAGTAGCCCCCAGAAGCTATATGGTAGCCCCTGGAAGCTATACAGGGGCTCCAAATGGCCCCTAGAAGCTATATGGTGACTTCCAGAAGCTATACAGGGGCCCCCAGTAGCCCCCAGAATCTTTACAGTGGCCCCTAGTGCCCCCTTAAAGCTATACGGTGGCCTCGGAAAGCTATATGGTGGCCCCCAGAAGCATATCCAGGGGCCCCTAGTAGCCCCCAGAAGCTATGTGGTGGTCCCCAGTGGCTCCAAGAAGCTTTACAGTGGCCCCCAAAAGCTATACAGGGGCCCCTAGTGGCCCCAAGAAGCTATATGGTAGGCCCCAGAAGCTATATGATGGCACCCAGAAGCTATACGATGGTCCCCAGTGGCCCCCAGAAGCTAAAGGATTGCATCCAGTGGCCCCCAGAAACTATATGGTAGCCCCCAGAAGCTGTACGGTGGCCCTCAATGGCCCCAAGAAACTATACAGGGGCCCCAGTGGCCCCCAGAAGTAAGCCCAAATTTTCACTGACAAAAAATTCACGATGTTGTCAATCTGAAATGATTCATGGCCATTTAATTTCGCTGTTAGAGAAATATCCAATTGAATTCAATGTTAAATCAAATGTTCACAGTGCCTTTAAAAGCTATAGGATGGTCCCCAGTGGCCCTCAGAAGCTATATAGTCTGATTGCTCAGATGAGGAAAGCCAATGCTTATAACATTTAGACATTATGCCAAAATCTAGACTATGCCAACCTCTATATTGTATAATTACATTAGATTTTATTATGATGCATGTTTTAAATGCCAAAGCCCAGACTATATGCCAACCTCACTACTGTATGAATTCATTAGATTTCATTTGATATACATGTATATACTAAATATAAAATATGCAGTGTCCTATATACTAAAAATGTAATAATATACACTAGTTTAAGAATCAACTATATGAAGAAATGTTGAAAATCAGCAAAATAATGCATCTCTACGGTTGCTATAGCAACGGATTAAGATTTTTTCTTGATTTTTGTCATACATGTCAAGCATCATACTATAACTAATTCCTGAAAATCTCAAGTTAATATATTTATCAGTATCTGAGATATGAGGGTGTCTTATAGTACCCCCTGTATATTTTATCAGGGGGTATAAGAAATGCTCTGTAGTGCCCAAGAGTGCCGCATCGGCATCCGGTGGTTTTGAGGTCCCAATCCTATATTCATGTTGATAAGTTAAAAAAACATTGTAATCCGAAGAAAACGATTGAATGTCAAAATACCCTATATTTCTGCCAGACTATTTGTAGAGTAGATCAACATTAATCTTTGGCCTTCCCCCTCCCCGCCGTCTCACGAAATTAATGTAATGTAAACGAATGCTCAAAAACGTCAAGATTTTACAAAAGTTGTTATGGCATTCAACCTAGTGGTATTTGTTCATCTGTTGTACCTTTAGTTTGCAGACAGATCTAATTCGTTCGAACTACGACGACCATAGTGAGTCTTTATTCTGTGCAAATACAGTCAAAACAGAGTAAACAACTCCAAACACACAACAACATTTCTAGACGTCTGTAAGCGGTCACAGTAGGTTCTAGATCAAGATCTCATATTTTTGTAGGTGGGTGTATTGAAGACTTTGACGGAACGTCAATTTAACAAAATGGATAAACTTCCTGGATACGAGTTTTTTTTGTTTTTTTCGATTTGAACTAACGTACAAGCCATGTTGCAGATTAGCATTTCACACAAAGTTAGCCAATAAAGTCTAGCTTTTAGAAATGCCCTCGGTTTGGAATTTGATTTTTAAATAACGCTGTTATTCATGCATTTAGACCATCACTTTCGTTACATTGACGTAAGTCAAAGTAACATACCTTGGTAATATAACGGTTTGTCGTCAATGTAACAAAAGCGAGGGGCTTAACATATGAATTGCAACTTCATTTACAAAACAAATTCCAAACCGAAGAAAGTTATCAAAACTAGACTATATTTTCTAGCTTTGTGCCAAATTATAATCTGCAGTAGGTTTAAATCGAGAAAACAAAACACTTGTAATCAGAAAGTTCATCCATTTTGTTTCATTAACGTTCCGTAAAAGTAACTATTTGTGGAACAGTGACTCTACTTTACCTTTATTTGGTGTTCATGAGCAACCCATTGGCTTATTATATTGATTATATTATTCTTTTTTATTTGCCTGTTCCTTACCAATGGTTTGTCGGACCATTGATAATGAAAGATAAGTCAGATATGAACCTCTAAGAACTTTTAGCTGATCTTGAAAAAAACTGTCAATCTGTAAAATACCTGTTTGACCTTTTTACCTTGATAAGGTCATTGAAGGTGAAATCTCATACCAGAGTCAAATCTCATGCCAAAGTCAAATTTAAACTTCTGAGAACTTGTTGATGATTTTGAAAAATTGATTCATTTGAAGCAAGTTTGAAAATACCTTTTGACCCTCTTTTACCTTGAAAAGGTCATTGTCAAATCTCGAATCTAAAGTCAGATTTGAGTTTCAGAGAACTTATTAATGACTTTGAAAATTTGGTCAATTTGAAGCAAGTTGAAAAATACCTTTTCGTCTTTTTGACCCTTAAAAGTTCATTGAAGGTAAAATCCCCAATCTAGAACTTGTTGATTAATTAAAAAAAACAAAGTCAGTCTTAAGAATATTATTTGTTAAGTTATTGTAAGTAGTAAGAATCTGTTAAAGACGTCAACCGCCGGATACCAACCGCCAGACGCCGTCACAAAAAAAGTTGGAGACCATACCAATATGTCACAATTTTTGGCGGTGACATAAAAACCGTTGAGAGAGCTTTCACACCAGTATAAAAATCGACTAGTCTAATCCTCTTATGTAAACACTGTGTTATGCGTAGACGGAAGGGGCGGACACCTTAACTAAACTGCCTACCCTTTATACAAGTTATCATTGCACCCTTATGTCAAAGTTAATTTATCGATTTTATATTTTGTGATATACAGTATTATGTATATAAATAATCTATATATGTTTTAATTGAGAGGGATATATGACAAAGTGACAAAATGAGAGCATTTCAATCAAAATATATGGCTCGCCCTTGTTTGCATATCAAAATAGTATTTACATTTGCACGCAAATGTGAATAGAGCATACATTCTGAACAGAAAACGCAATATATTTTTCTACTGCAATCCTTGGTCGAGCATGTAATTGTGTAATACTATGCTGTTTTGCATCAATACTTATTTTGTATGTTTCAGGAACAACATGAAGTTGTGATGATATATATATATATAGGGATACAATGCGATACAAAATATAACATAGATCACGTATATAAGGAGATCGCTAAAAACTTCAGATTGACAAAAATTGAATAATTGGAGATAGTCATACAACTTACCGTACCGAGTTAAAGATCTAAAGATCTCCCGCACCTCGGCATATAATTTGAGCTCATGTACATGCACATGGACTAACTTGGAAAACAGGCGATATGGCTAATACAGCAGACCAAAACAGTAAGTCGAAACTAAACTAAATATATGGAGACATTAAGCTGGCTTTTAAAATCGAAACGGGGACCTGAACGTATGAAATCGCTCTATAGCAATTCATGTAGTTTTCTCACATAGATAATCGGTCGGTTGCAATGTTTACTTATCACCCTGTTATAGCATGACGGTTACGCCACCTCTGAAAACGAGGGTGGACGGCTACGTTCACTGATTTATCCAACTAAGGTTGGTGCATTATTTTCTACTACTGCGTATCACTGAAAGCATGAACGTTTTATATAAGCGTCGCATTCGGTAGTGCATGCAGTAATGTATATTTACGTACGTAGTCTTTGCAAATTGATGCCCGGGGATAACATGTAATAAGAGAAAAACTGAAAAACTAGCAAATTGTTTATTTTTGTCGTTAGGCCATGGTCTACATTGCATAACAACCAAGGGGTATATAGATCATACATACGATCATACAAAGCCAATTGAGCATTGGAAACCGCCGAATATATTCTACTTAAGCCATAATAATGTATTTTGAATTTGCGATAACGTAAAAAAATTGATAGACGGTTACGCGAACCCCATTCAAATATGAAACCCCGATTCATTGTTTTTAATCTTGTCATCTTCATCAGTACTTGATGCTAAATCTTCTTTTGCCTCTTCATTGTTATCTTTTTCACTTTCATTGGTTTCATAAATAAAGTAAGCCACAGTTTTTTTCTTGCCCTGTAGAGGCGCAAATAAGAGCGTCTCTTGCGAGTCCTGAAAACAAATAAAGACAATTCAATATTCCATTTCTTACACATTATAACAATAACATGGAAATAGGCTATCAGATCTAGCAACCTTGACTTGACAGGTGAACATGCACGTAACCGTCCGCTAATTATCTTATGTACAACTAATACAATACGTTACCGTCCATAGAATTCATACGTAGTCGTCTAACGACATTGCGCTTGAAATCTTATTATTTACAATTTACACCACGTTCCTGTCTGGATTTGTCATTCTATGACTTGTTTATACACAGTTTACTTACAATTCATATTTTGAGTGGCTCTGAGGGCACATGTACTGAGAAAACACGAGAATGGACTGAAAAATATGAACTTGGATATCTCAGTCGGTAGGTTTACAGCTTATATTCTGCTTCTTGTAGACCACCTTGCAGATTTGACCCAGTCTTTATGAACATCCATATATACGTCACCGAATGGAACTAGTTTAAAAGGAAATCTTATCTGTGAATCTTGCCTACAGGCGAGAAAGAGGACATGCTGCCTTTCCCATCCGCCATTTTTTTTATCGTTACCGCAAAATTTTGCAAATCGCCTTGACGTAACCGTCATGCTACAACACCGTGCTTATGCCGTGGTCACATTTTCAAAATACTCATCGGCCAGGCGCCGGTGCTGAAAATCGGGGCAAATGTGTCCACGGCATAAGTCCGTTACTTAAACCACACCGCAGCGTGTAATATGCCATTGATACTCGTAGTTATATATCACTGGCGTAGCTAGGATTTCTCAAGGGGGGGGGTGCATGAGGCAAATTTTTCAGATTAATGAGGCAATTCTTTTCTTTCAATGAGGCAAAAAATCAAAAGCGCGGCAAAAAGTGTCAATGGGACAAAATCTACTCACACATCATGTATAGTGCATAAAGTAACATTCACATCATCTAGAATACTAATATTTCAAACTGTTTTATTTATAAGCCATATCAGATATCACATTGTGATTAACCATTGTGAATAACCATCAAAAACATGACTTAGATATGGTTTATTTGGACATGTTATACTCTTTTGAACAGCCATAATAATCAAAACTTGTCTGAATAAAAAACATTTTAAAGTGTCTCACATATTCGATCAAAAATTGCCATGCAAACATGTTAGTCTACTTTACTGGCCCCCCTTGCTGTAACAAGGAACCCAAAACACATTACAATTTAAGCATAAACCAATTAGTCACTTCACTATGAAAGAGGGGGTGTTAGCAAATGTGTATTAGGCCCTAAGTAGTAGATTCTTTGTTTTGCGTCCTGGCGAACTCCAAATCATGCAAGGGTACAAGGAAAACAAACGCAAACTCAAGAAAAAACACAAACTTGTTTGCTGATAAATGTATACATTTCAAGGGCATACAAAGGGATGAGAAACAAGTTTGTAGTGATTACAAACGCATATCTATACATCTTATACAATATATTTAAACATATAGCTATTATTCAAGGGTAAGAAATAAGAAAATACACAATGTGTGCCAAAGTAATCAATTACACTGCCAATTTGAACTCACATCAAATTATTAGCTATTTCATCTGATTCTGATTGAACGATATGCGATGTTACTTTCAGACTCTTGTGATTGCTATTTGGATGTGTTTGTTTTTTCTAATTTACTCAAAATCTTGCAAGCAAGGGGACGCAAAACAAAGAATCTACTTCTTATGGCCTTAGCAGAATACGCTGTGTGCATGGACTAACACAATATCAGTGGTCATTTACTGTGTCAACTTAGTAACCCTTGCATATCGTGCTCAATCAAGTATTGAATAATTTTTTTTATGATCTAAATGTTTGTGGTTTATAAAAAATGTGATATATTTTAGTTAGAAATACATTAATTAATATATTCATTCAAACAGCACTAGAATGCGGGAAGAAAGAGCAATGGTGACAAAATGCAGACAGAATTTTCCGTAAGGGTTTCTAACATTTCTGGACACAATCATACATGTACTTCATGTGTACTGTTATTTTTAGTGCTGGATTTATAGATATAATTCCACGTATTAAAATCATATTTTCTAGCAATGACTTCAAATTCGGAACCACATCCATATCACATTTTCTTCAATAACTCCAAACATGTGTAAACATTGACCATGTGCATATAAATTCAGATTTCACGAGCTCTTTCCTATTCGAGTACCTCATACATCCCTGCATGGATTTGAGTTGGATTCGCCTTTTATACGTGAGCCGATACACATCGCAAACGCTGATTGGATAAAGATTGCGAGAATCTTTAAATAACCAATAATATTCTGTTTAATGACTGACTAAACAAGATCTTTGGTATCATGGCATTGCAACACAACTTTTAAAAACATAAATACCTTTAAATATTAAGGAATTTTGACAAAGAGTATTCTACAAAATCAGATGAATGAGGATTCTTTGAGTTGACCTTTTAGAGCATGGGTATGGTAGTGGCCTCGGATTTTGTGTGACAACAATTATATAATCAATTGAATTATGTTTGTGAATTATTATCATTTCACTCAAAGTCCTTATTTCATTAAATATTTAATTTGAAAACATAGGATCAAATCCTATGCTAAGGGCTGATGTGAAAAAGTCACTCCACCCTGGTGGGAATCAAACCCACAACCTCCCTCCTCATAAATGTACATATAACCCTCTGTTCACAATACCATATTACGAGATCCAGAGCTTTCATTAAAAAGTGATGATATGTCTTTGTACTTGATAAATGTTTCTTTATGGCATTGGACGTGATGTTTGGCATGGTATCACTATCTATCTTTTTAGTATGATTATTATTAGGTAGTTACAATGTAGAAGTACATTTCGACATATTCCCTAAACATACATGGGGTGATAACTTATAGACTTACCCTCCACAGATGATTCATTGATTGGTATTCCACATTACTTTTGGTATGGGATCCTACTGATATTTATGTATTTGTACGGGTATTGACCTATATCCTCTTGGTACGGGGTTGGGGCATGTGAACGATTTGATATCAAAAGGCCACGAAGCCTCCCAATGCTCAATGGGAATATTACATTGTGATATTCAATGAGAATGATATTATGATCCTGGCAAACGCCTTCAAATGCTGACGCACTTGCCCAGCCTTTAATGAGGTAAATCCTGGGAATATGATTTGTATATAGATAATCTATATCAAATACAGGAGAGTTCAGCACATGATCGACGAAAGGAAAATAAAGTGAAATAGGCTTCAAAGAATCAGGTGTGTTGGTTCCATACCTATAGAGACACAACTCTGGCGAATATTTTAATAAGTGTCAGTTGTAAAAATACACAATCTATCGTGAAAAGTGAAATCCAGGAATGGGGGAAATATATTTAAGAGCTATATAATATAGCTGGTTTTCTATTATAAACAAGCTCGTTTCGTAAGGTATTTGAAGCTAAAGCATTTATGATACGACGTCAGATACTGTACATCACGGCGTAACATTGTAATTGTCCAATTTACCGACAAAAATGCGATGATTTACGCGATAAATACGCGCAATGCTCCTCCAAGTTATTGCAAAAGTTTTAATATTCGTCGAATCTTCTTAAGAATTTCAAGTTTTTGTTCAGATTAATGTGCGCTTCAATACAATTCTATATTCAAAAAAAGATTTTGTCACGATATACAAAATTAGAATCACCAGAAAATAGACATTTCAAACACTACCCGTTTTCTTTTTTGTCCCGCTTTTCGGCCCTGAGCTAGCTCTCGTTGTCGCACAGTCATTCTAGACTCTTTCACAGGGCCCCTTGTCACATTCAACTGATATACACAGACGGGAAAATATTGAGGATTGTTAAATGTATTATTTGTTATTTATTTTAACTCGAATATTTAGTTTATTAAGTTAAAGCAATGAATAATAAAGGAGAACATATAATACGCTAACGGCGTAACGTCTTATTTTGTAAAGGCTTCACCTGGGGTTGCGATGATAAAGTGATGTCTATCTCAATATATATATCAGGTGTCCCAAAAAAATGAGCCACTTTTTGACAAGTATTATCTCGGTAACTGATGAACCAAATTCATTGAAAATTTGTACAAAGTAGCCCAGGAGTATCGGTTGCAAGGTATAAAAATATGAAAAAGACCAAGTAAATGTTATGTGAGTACTAAGAAATTCAAGATAGCATGTCATAATAGCCCATACCGGAGCAACGTAATGAGAACTTTTTAGCATTTCTCCCCAAAAAATGAGAAGCAATTTGACAAGTAATTTCTCAGCAATAGATGAGCCAAATTCTTTGAAAACTTAACCCGAGGCACTTAAGGTTATCCTCTGCTAGTGCCATGAATATGTAAGGGATTGGTCTCATAGTGTGTGTGTATTTCAGAATTAAGGACAGTATGTCAAAATAACCAATATCGATGTAAAAGTCACTTATTAATGCATTTTCGAGCAAAAATACTTTTCCGCATTTATTCTTACAATCTCATCTCCAATGAATTTGAGAATGAACTGGATTTTGGATATTTGGGATGAATGAAAAGAATTAACCAGACATCACTCAGCTCCTATCGAATGCAATGAAGACTTAGCATGCGAAGATGATAGCTGGTACAAACATTTTTGAAGTCTTATATCAGAGCTCCGATTTGGGAATTTTTGACATGCAGTTTTGAATTTCTTAGAACTCACATAAAATTTACTTGATCTTTTTTATATTTTTACAACTTGCTAAAGATTCTCTTAGGCTACTTTGTACAAAGTTTCATTGAATTTGGTTAATAAGTTACCGAGATAATACTTGGCAAAACGTGGCTCGTTTTTTTGGGACACCTGATATACTGGTTCAAATTGAATGAAATTAATTGTATATAGTAAGGGGTATAATCAAAAGAACATGTTGAAACATTGGAACGTTTTAAATGTTTATCAATCAATTAGAGAAATTTAAACACAAAAAATGAAACGTAATTTTGTGAATTTTTCACATGGCTTCACTTCATATTTCTTTCAATTTATACTTCTAACAGATTGAATTTTAATCGAAATGATATGTTTTTTGATAAAAATGTAGAATATGATATGCCTTTAAGGAATCAAAAAGGAATAATTCACCTTCCAAATGATTTAATGTTTAATTGATCAAAAGATATATCTTGTTGGTACGAAATTCTGCCTGTCCACACTTTTTTGGCATAAATATAAGCGTTAAGTTAGCATTGTTATATTATGACGTCATCACACAGAATCTGTTCGTCTTTTTCAAAATGGTGAATTTAAATATTGTGAAAATTTGAGAAAGATCCGTTTAGAAATGAAAAAGTTATCTTCATTTTTCGTTTAAAATTAAAATCATTTTTCTTCAAAATGTTACAGTCCACATCATTAATTATTTTGAATTCCGATAGGCAAAATACTTCATGGACATATATGTTCAGCTAATGACAAAATATTGTAGAAAAATATGATTTTGCTGTCGAGATATCGCGGTTTTAAAAGTAAGTATATGTAAAAATGCAGTAAAATGCCGTGTGGTACAGTACCTGACGTCGTATCTTATGACAAAAAAGCATTAATGTGCATCGAAATCAAATTGCCAGAATAGTATAAAATAGACATGAGTATAATGATTCCCGTTGACACCAACGTGAAATTTCAAATTTCCCGCGCATACACATACATTGCTAATGATTCATGGACTTTGCGTTCGCGATTACGTTGTGAAAAACATCGCCCGTTTAAAGCCTCCATTATCTGTAAATAATGACATTAGAAATAAACCCGGAAATTATGGAGCCGATGACGTATTTGCGTTATTTCTTTTATAAATATATGAACATATTTTAGCATGTCTCTAAAATATTAATCTATTTTTCACTTTGATCACCACTTGTTATAGCGGGTCACCAAAAATGGCTACAAGATATCGCAGGCCATCTGGGAAAAAATGCCCGAAAGGTGGCGAGGAGACTGGGTGTCACCGATGAGGATATCGAAAATATCGACAGTAATCATAAAGATAACAGTGAGGAGGCAGCGTACCAGATGCTAAGGAAATGGTACCAGAACTATCGCGGGAAAAACCCTATTCCTGAACTTTACGAGGCACTGGTTGAGTGTGAATTGAAGGGAATAGCTGATAGATTTCTACCTAATAGTACGGGGCATGGTTAGTAGTGAAAGGTGTTAAGGTGTCCTCAAGGGCCTTTAATATCTTAGTATAGTAGTATTTAAATTGTTTTTATTATTTACCATGCATGTGTTTTTGAACAATTAATGGACAACTGAAATAATAACTTTTTTCATTAAGGTTCTATTCATCGAAAAAGATGCAATATCGCAAAGACTGTTGGGAACTTCATAACAACGGAAGACATGAAAAAGTGCAAAAAACATTTGGAAAATGAAAACAGTATTGTTCTTACAGGTAGGCAATATTGTATGATTTTACTGCGCATTTAATTGTTGATAAATGCACGGGCTGAGTAAGGCCTTTCTTTTAAAAGGGGGATGGTGTTACCATCATCAACGTGTTAATTTCAGTCAATACTATGATTTTCTCACTAAGTTTTCATAATTCTGTTGCAAACTTCCGCATCAAATTTATTTATTTTCTTTCCTATTATATTTTGATGAGTAAAACCTTCTAAATAGTTTTCAAGGGAATATAAATTGTAACTCAACACCCCTATTTCTAAAACATGAACTTGTCCAAATGCAAGGATTAAACTAGGTCAACACTGAGACGAACATCATCACCATGACATCCATTCAACATAGCACAAGCCTAAAATAAACTCTACAAACATTATTTGAAACTGCAAACCACAAACAGAAGGAATGAGTTCCAAAAATACAAGCTAATTTTGCAAAAGTAATTAAAAAGCAGAGAAGATGTATTATACAAATAAATTGATAAGAAACATAAGAAAATATTACCCAATTATTTTTATCAGGTAACAGGAAAATTGCCGAACGAACAGAAATACCTAAACAATTTAATAATTTCTTTGCGAATATTGAGAAAGAGTCGAAGGCAAATATACAAAGTCGGCTTTCAAAGCCGGCTTTTAAAGCCGGCTTCTACAGTACATCAGAAGCCGGCTTCTGGCGTCACCAAGAAGCCGGCTTTTAAAAACCGGCTTCGAATGACTTCCAGAAGCCGGCTTCTGCAGTTACCAAGAAGCCAGTTTTAAAAGCCAGATTCTCTCTCTCAATCATTTTGTTGTGCATTATGCATCTTATTCTCGTATAATTAGCATGGAAATGAGAAAAAAATGAAAATAAGTAAAATTGTAACATATTGAAAGATTTTTTGCAAAAAGTAATTTCAAACCAAAACTATGGGAGAAATTTAATTCTAAGTAAAAATATCGCTGAATTAAATCATGTTCGTTAAATAAGAGTAGATTATGCATTGCATTTCTGTTTGATAAAAACGCATCGCTCATTTTACAAAACTGGCTCCAACTTGGAGCCAGTTTGCAAATCAGCTCGCTCCATCTTACATAAGCTATGTAGGGGCAATCTAGCAACTGGAAATCACGGGATACTGTTTCATGATAATTGTTATGTGCATTATGCATCTTATTCTCGTATAATTTGCATGAAAATGAGAAAAAAGTGAAAAATACGTAAAATTATTACATATTTCAAGATTTTTTGGAAAAAGTCATTTCAAGCCAAAACTATGACAGTAAATTGAATTCTAAGCACAGATATCGATGAATAAGATCACATTCATTAAATCAGAATAGATTATGCATTGCATTTCCGTTTAATAAAAACGCACCGCTAACTTTTCAAAACTGGCTCCAACTTGGAGCCAGTTTGCAAATCAGCTCGCCCCATATGACAAATGCTATGTAGGTACAATCTGGTAAATAGGAATCACGAAATACTATCTCACGATTACTTTTATGTGCATTATGCATGTTATTCTCGTATAATTTGCATGAAAATGAGAAAAAAAACTGAAATATACATAAAATTGTAATATATTTAAAGATTTTTTGTAAAAAGTCATTTCAAGCCAAAACTATGAGAGAAAAATCAATTCTAAGTAAAAATATCGATGAATTAGATCATGTTCACCAAATCAGAACAGATTATGCATTGCATTTCCGTTTAATAAAAATGCACAGCTCATTTTACAAAACTGGCTCCAACTTGGAGCCAGTTTACAAATCAGCTCGCTCCATCTTACACAAGCTATGTAAGGACAATCTAGCAACTGGGAATCACGGGATACTGTCTCACGATCATTTCTATGTGCATTATGCATCTTATTCTCGTATAATTTGCATGAAAATGAGAAAAAACTGAAAAATACGTAAAATTGTAACTTATTTCAAGATTTTTTGGAAAAAGTAATTTCAAGCCAAAACTATGAGAGAAAATTTATTTCTAAGTAAAATTATCGATGAATTAGATCACGTTCACTAAATCAGAACAGATTATGCATTGCATTTCCGTTTAATAAAAACGCACCGCTCATTTTTCAAAAATGGCTCCAACTTGGAGCCAGTTTACAAATCAGCTCGCCCCATCTTACACAAGCTATGTAGGGGCAATCTAGCAACTGGAAATCACGGGATACTGTCTCACGATTATTTTTATGTGAATTATGCATCTTATTCTCGTATAATTGGCCTGAAAATGAGAAAAACTGAAAAAAACGTTAAATTGTAACTTATTTCAAGATTTTTTGCAAAAAGTAATTTCAAGCCAAAACTATGAGAGAAAATTCATTTCTAAGTAAAAATATCGATGAATTAGATCACGTTCACTAAATCAGAACAGATTATGCATTGCATTATCGTTTAATGAAAACGCACCGCTCATTTTTCAAAACTGGCTCCAACTTGGAGCCAGTTTACAAATCAGCTCGCTCCATCTTCCACAAGCTATGTAGGGACAATTTAGCAACTGGGAATCACGGGATACTGTCTCACGATCATTTCTATGTGCATTATGCATCTTTTTCTGGTATAATTTGCATGAAAATGAGAAAAAACTGAAAAATACGTAAAATTGTAACTCATTTCAAGATTTTTTGCAAAAAGTCATTTCAAGCCAAAACTATGAGAGAAAATTTATTTCTAAGTAAAAATATCGATGAATTAGATCACGTTCACTAAATCAGAACAGATTATGCATTGCATCTCCGTTAAATAAAAACGCACCGCTCATTTTTCAAAACTGGCTCCATCTTGGAGCCAGTTTACAAATCAGCTCGCTCCATCTTACACAAGCTATGTAGGGACAATCTAGCAACTAGGAATCACGGTATACTGTCTCATGATCATTTCTATGTGCATTATGCATCTTATTCTCGTATAATTTGCATGAAAATGAAAAAAAACTGAAAAATATGTAAAATTGTAACTTATTTCAAGATTTTTTGCAAAAAGTCATTTCAAGCCAAAACTATGAGAGAAAATTCATTTCTAAGTAAAAATATCGATGAAGTAGATCACGTTCACTAAATCAGAATAGATTATGCATTGCATTTCCGTCAAATAAAAACGCACCGCTCATTTTTCAAAACTGGCTCCAACTTGGAGCCAGTTTAAAAATCAGCCCGCTCCATCTTACACAAGCTATGTAGGGACAATTTAGCAACTGGGAATCATTGTATACTGTCTTACGATCATTTCTATGTGCATTATGCACTATATTATACTGATTTGTAAACTGGCTCCAAGTTGGAGCCAGTTTTGAAAAATGAGCGGTGCGTTTTTATTAAACGGAAATGCAATGCATAATCTGTTCTGATTTAGTGAACGTGATCTAATTCAACGATATTTTTACTTGGAAATGAATTTCTCTCATAGTTTTGGCTTGAAATGACTTTTTGCAAAAAATCTTGAAATAAGTAACAATTTTAAGTATTTTTCAGTTTCTTCTCATTTTCATGCAAATTATACGAGAATAAGATGCATAATGCACATAGAAATGATCGTGAGACAGTATCCCGTGATTCCAAGTTGCTATAGCAAACAGTGACGTCCATGTAACGTCACTCATATGTGGTATATAAGTTCACTGGAGACGTTGTATATTTCCGTTATATAAACGTCAAAGCAACGTAAAATTGTGACATTCAGCAAAACGTCGGTGGATGGTTAAAAAATGACGTTGTAGTAATGTGTTAGTAAAGTTCGAAATTTGTGCTGGTGTGAAAAACGTAACAATGACGTTGAATTTTTACCAGTTTGGTTCATTTGCAACGTAATATAAACGGTAAAATTTAACGTTGTCGTAACGTTTTTTAAATGTGTAAAATATTTGTAAGTGCAGGAAACATTACAAAGACGTTGCAGTTCTCACCAAATTGTTTCATTTGCTACGTAATATAAACGGTAAAATTTGACGTTGTCGTAACGTGTTTTAAATGTGAAAGATATTTGTAAGTGTAGAAAACGTTACAAAGACGTTGTGTTCTCACCAAATTTGGTACATTTGCTACGTAATGTAAACGGTAAAATTTGACGTTGTCGTAACGTGTTTTAAACGTGAAAGATATTTGTAAGTGTAGAGAACGTTACAAAGACGTTGCACTTCTCACCAAATTGTTTCATTTGCTACGTAATATAAACGGTAAAATTTGACGTTGTCGTAACGTGTCTTAAATGTGAAAGATATTTGTAAGTGTAGAAAACGTTACAAAGACGTTGTGTTCTCACCAAATTTGGTACATTTGCTACGTAATGTAAACGGTAAAATTTGACGTTGTCGTAACGTGTTTTAAACGTGAAAGATATTTGTAAGTGTAAAAAACGTTACAAAGACGTTGCACTTCTCACCAAATTGTTTCATTTGCTACGTAATATAAACGGTAAAATTTAACGTTGTCGTAACGTTTTTTAAATGTGTAAAATATTTGTAAGTGCAGGAAACATTACAAAGACGTTGCAGTTCTCACCAAATTGTTTCATTTGCTACGTTATATAAACGGTAAAATTTGACGTTGTCGTAACGTGTTTTAAATGTGAAAGATATTTGTAAGTGTAGAAAACGTTACAAAGACGTTGTGTTCTCACCAAATTTGGTACATTTGCTACGTAATGTAAACAGTAAAATTTGACGTTGTCGTAACGTGTTTTAAACGTGAAAGATATTTGTAAGTGTAGAAAACGTTACAAAGACGTTGCACTTCTCACCAAATTGTTTCATTTGCTACGTAATATAAACGGTAAAATTTGATGTTGTCGTAACGTGTTCTAAATGTGAAAGATATTTGTAAGTGTAAAAAACGTTACAAAGACGTTGTGTTCTCACCAAATTTGGTACATTTGCTACGTAATGTAAACGGTAAAATTTGACGTTGTCGTAACATGTTTTAAATGTGAAAGATATTTGTAAGTGTAGAAAACGTTACAAAGACGTTGCACTTCTCACCAAATTGTTTCATTTGCTACGTAA